TTAATAGCTCTGTGTGCCAATTGTAGTACATGGCATAACACTAACCATACCTAACCAAACCAAAGTTTTAATCATACCTTAATTTAAATTCCTGGCGGAGGGTGAATCAAGTCCTGGTGTAGTTAACTGTGGTGAATACTCTTGTAGTTCCCACATGTTTTAATTGACTTCACTTCAAAAAGGACACTTGGAAAATTCACTACGGTACCTCGTCGTACTTTTAATGTTCACTAGAAAAAGGGATTCCACGCGTGAATTTCTCTTTAACCTTCAATTAGGTTCACTACCTCCGTTAACACTATTTATTTCCATTAATCCAATCAAGTTATGGGCCCATAACACTTCACTTGGCATCAGTGACAAATATCCTCTAATCTCATCGTCACATCAGGTCACTTCACCTTTTAACCAATATTTCCCATATATTAACACAACACTTCACGTTACGGGTCCTCCAGCACTTCACAACACCGAACACTTCCACTTATATCAGTATATAACACCGAAAGAGTATCAAGTTTTTAAGGAAATTATCAAAAATGAAGGAATAATGTACGTCGACCTTGACCATGTACCGGACACGAACAGTGAGTAATGTTGTGGCTGTCAAGCTGCCCATACATGTTGCCATATCGCCAAAATTTATTTATTTTTAATTCTCTATCGTATAAATCGTTGTTGATGTTAGAATAATGACGTATATCAATTATATTCTAATTTATCTTATTACTCTAAAATAAAACCTTTTGGTGAGCTTTATTGGAAGTAATAAAGAAACAAACAAGCGAACTATCAAACAAGCACTGAACGACTCTTTACGGTACTTAAACAACAATTCAATAATTATCTTATCACTCATATATTACCGTTACTATGCGAGATTTAAATTACTTTGTAGTAGATTTTAACGAAGACGAAAACAAATAAATAAAATAAAATCAATAAATAAAACACGAAAATGATCATAAACGCGAAAGTCAAGATAGGTGGAGGGAGGAGAGGCAGTCCACACACCACCTCCTCCACGTTCATTTATCATCATCTTAATAAATACGTATAAGTAGATCACACACACACACACACACACACACACACAAAACACTAATGACTGATGATACGCAGTTTTATTTTGACTTGTTTTTTGAGGACACATTTTTTCTGTAATTATCACAACTTTGCAAGTGTATTCGATGCTAATTAATTAAACGGTGACGGCGTTATGGCTATAGATCACCGGCGTCAAGAATTACATAAAAAGGGAAGCACGTCACTGCCATCCTGCGTTCTAATTAGCGGATTTTACATGACGTCATCTTGTACTGATGTTAATTGCGTGTTTTTTTATTACGGTTAACTAGTAATAATGTTAAGGGTTCATGTCAGGAATTCAGTGTTGGTAACGAGACAGTTTTTCTCTTTTTTTTTCTCTTTTATCCTCTTCTCCACTGATCGGCTTGTTAGCCGCCCGGGCGATAGGTCACGTCTCTGTCACGCACTGTTGGCAAATACTGGGCATGCACAGGTTCCTGAATGTACCTGAACCCGCTCCAGTGTTGGTCAAGTCTTGTCTTGAAAGAGCTCACACTCGGTGCCGTCACAACACTCTCTAGAGTGTGTGTAAGGGTAGAGTAACTCATACACTCTATACACGTCTTCACACACACAGAGCAGGGGTGAAATACTCAGTTGGTAGGGCACTGGCTGACGAAGGTATACACATAACCCACCGCCAAGAGCATAAGAACATAAGGAGTCTGCAATTGGCCGGTTGGCCTGTGCATGGCAGCTCATGTCGAGAGTTACTACCACTCTCTATCATTCATGAATCTATCTAGCCTCCTTTTAAAACCCTCCAGGTTCCATCACTTATAACAAAGTTGCTAAGCTTGTTCCAAACCACCCTATTTGTGAACCAGTTCCTTCCTATCTCCCTCCTAAACCTAAACTTATCCAACTTAAATCCGTTGCTACGAGTAAAATCCGTCATGTTTCCTCCGTCAGCTGTGTAATGACCACGGTCATACACATCAGTTAACGTAAAATCAGACGATTCATATTACGCGCAATAGCCCACAAAACATGTAGCTATGCTTTCTTATTGAAGTTCCCCATCTGAAGAGTCCGTTTTCTCATCGCTTCAGGACGCCTGAGTTCTCCGCTTTCTCTCAATCTTGAATGTACCCGAGACTTCATTATTCCTTAGTAATGACATAATTTGAAATTGCAACTGTGGTTGTAATTGGTGAGGCAACCTAGATATATGTCTGTTTACAGTTGGAACATTCATGATCCATTGTGAGTGGTGTTGAAAGCTTCATTGTTAGCAAACCTTGTCAAGTAAGTGAGTGTCGAGTTTGCCAGCTAGAGTGGCACATTTTATGTCGTTCGTGGGAGTATCCTGAATTTCCGATCGCAACAGAAGTTATATTATTTTGTCGCCCAAACCTCAGGGAATCCGATTTTTATAGTTTAGTTAGTGTCAGTTGTCTATTTAAGAAAGTCATTAATCTCCTGAACAGTTCCTGTCAAACTCGAAAGTATTCAAGACTTAACGGCTTTTTCGGCCTGGAATGCGTTCATATTTTACCATCCAGATATTCATATGTGTTTGCGTTTTTCTTGCTTCTGACCATCCTTCATTTATTTACTAACATATTTTTATCTCTTAATTGCCATCGTTACCTGGACTCTGATAAATTACCCGAGTTTACCTTACCTATTAGTACCAGGGAAAATACAGTTTGTCATGTGTTGACATACGTGTCTGTTGGACTATGTATATAGACTCATTTTGGTCGACGTTACTGTAGGTTGTGTATCTATGCTACTGTGCCAAGTAGCAACCTTGTAAATAAGCTACTGTGCCGAGTAGCATCTATGTATATAATTACGTGGCAACACTGCACGTGTTATGTGGCACCATTGCCCCGAGGCTGCCATATGGCAAGGCAGTCTCAGTCTGACTCTGTGGGCTGTGCATGGCACACGCAAGTCACCACTTGTATTTCTCCTATCCGAATAAATGGACTTCAGTGTTACCTGGTGTTTCCCTACCCATCACTGCATTCTTCAGGGAACACTTGGAGGCGGTCAACAAGCAGGGAGTTATAAATGTTATGAGCACACAGAGGAGGGCTTCATTCCAACCATGGATTCGTACAGGTCGATGATAATGATGATGAAGTAGGAAATTGATCCTCTAGTGCAGTGGTTCTTAACCTGGGGGGGGCGCCAGTAATTTCCAGGGGGGGGCGGGGCGCAAGCCCTCGGGAAAAAGTAAGAATTTCTCTAATTATAATTATAGTTTTTATTTTCTTAACAAGAGCGTGGGCTAATATTGAGAAGTTTATGAAAAAATGCAAAAGCATCGCCTTATAACTTTAGTTTTCTATAGGCTACTTTTTTTACTTAGGGCTTACCATTTTCTGTACTTATTGACCCCCTCCCTATCCCTCGAAACCCATGGGGGGGGGGGGTTAACTCGTCCTGGACCTGTATACTGCTCGTTGGTGACTGGTGAGCCCCGTTCTCTCCCAGTCTTCTGCACACGTCCGTGGCAATAATTCCTCTTCTCTCACATTTATTCAGTTAAAACTGTTGAGGTATGTTTTGTCCCAGTTGTTATATTTACCTAAAAATAGTAAGCAGCCATAAGTTTATTGGTGAATAGTGAACACGCATGTGTTGCTCTGTTTGTTATTCGCAAGTTTTGAATTCCGTTTGTATTTTTATCAGAAGTTGGTGGTGCTTAAAATCATGTGGTGGTAACAGGTGGTTATGATAAAGTTGTATTTGTGATGATATTGATTTGTTTCTTAATAATCATGTGTTTATGATCATGATGTGTTTACTATAATGTTGTGGTGTTTGTTAATATTTACTTAATAATTATGTGGTGGTGTTGATGATCATGTAGTGGTGCTTATGATCATGTTGTGATCGTTGATGCTTGTTAATAATCATGTGGTGTTTATGATCATGTGGTGTTTGTTAATGATATGGTGGTGTTTATGATCATGTGGTGTTTGTTAATAATCATGTGGTGTTTATGATCATGTAGTGGTGCTTATGATCATGTTGTGATCATTGATGCTTGTTAATAATCATGTGGTGTTTATGATCATGTGGTGTTTGTTAATGATATGGTGGTGTTTATGATCATGTAGTGGTGCTTATGATCATGTTGTGATCATTGATGTTTGTTAATAATCATGTGGTGTTTATGATCATGTGGTGTTTGTTAATGATATGGTGGTGTTTATGATCATGTACTGGTGCTTATGATCATGTTGTGATCGTTGATGTTTGTTAATAATCATGTGGTGTTTATGATCATGTGGTGTTTGTTAATGATATGGTGGTGTTTATGATCATGTAGTGGTGCTTATGATCATGTTGTGATCATTGATGTTTGTTAATAATCATGTGGTGTTTATGATCATGTGGTGTTTGTTAATGATATGGTGGTGTTTATGATCATGTACTGGTGCTTATGATCATGTTGTGATCGTTGATGTTTGTTAATAATCATGTGGTGTTTATGATCATGTGGTGTTTGTTAATGATATGGTGGTGTTTATGATCATGTAGTGGTGCTTATGATCATGTTGTGATCGTTGATGTTTGTTAATAATCATGTGGTGTTTATGATCATGTAGTGTTTGTTAATGATATGGTGGTGTTTATGATCACGTATGATTGTAGTCACTTGTAGTGTTTACGAACTTTACGATCATATGTTTGTTATTGATCATGTGGTTGTGATTATCATGATGATGTGGTGTTCAGGAGCACGTGGTGATGTTTATCTTACCTTACACGTGCCTTATGTTTTGTTCACACATTTGTGTTGTCCACTGCACATCAAATAATTCGCAATGAGTGCAAAGAAGCGGAAATATCTTGACGAATATATTCGATTTGGATTCGTGTCTCTCTAAAAGGGTGACACAGAGGTCCCCCAGTGTGTGATATGTTACAAGACTCTGAGCAATGATGGAATGCGGCCCACACGCTTGGAACGCCACTTGAGGACAACACATCCTGCTCTAGCTGACAAGCCCAAGGCATTCTTTGAAACAAAAAGACACTCTTTGAAGCAAGTTAAGTTGGACGGCAGTGGGCCATTTCGGCAACAAACTTCAAAGGTTGTTGAGGCTTCCTATGAGATCGCCATGTTGATTGCAAAGAGCAAGAAGAGCCATAACATCGGAGAGTTTCTCATAAAACCAAGCATACTCCGTGCAGCAGAACTCGTTCTGGGAAAAGATAGTGCAAACAAGCTTTCCCAAATTTCACTATCAAACGATATAGTCAAGGGAAGGATCGATGAATTGTCTCAAGACATCAAAGATCAAATTCTCGACCGAGTACGAGATTCTCCTGTTTTTCCCATCCAGTGTGACGAAACAACTGACATCGCTCAGTGTTCTCAGCTACTGATGTATGCTCGTTTCGTGTCAGGCAACAGTGTAAAAGAGGAAATGCTGTTCTGTCACCCCATGGAAAGTTGTACAACAGAAGCAACTATTTTTCATGATGTATCAAACTTCTTTCAGGAAAACCAACTTTCGTGGGACTCGCTGGTAGGGGTGTGCACTGATGGAGCTCCAGCCATGCTTAGTCTGCAGTCTGGATTCATTACAATGGTGAAAGAAAAAAATCCGTCTGTTGTAGGTACACACTGCATACTTCATCGGGAATCCTTAGTATCTAGAACTTTACCTGCTGAAATGAGGGATGTCCTGAACGTGGCTGTCAAGGTAGTCGACTTTATCAAAGCTGGAGCCTTAAACAGTCGTCTCTTCAAACTGCTGTGTAAGGATATGGAATCTGAACATGAAACCTTGCTTTTTCACACGAACGTACGATGGCTATCAAAGGGGAACATGCTTGGACGGCTTTATGAACTGCAAGAAGAAGTAGCAATATTTCTTGATTCGAAGCAGAAGGCAGATCTCCATGACAAGTTCCAGTCTGAAGGCTTTCAGCTATCTCTAGCTTACCTGGTGGACATCTTCGAAGCGTTGAATGCTCTCAACCTTAAACTACAAGGGGAAAACATCAACATCATCATGCACCACGACACCATTCGAACCTTCATGGCCAAACTCGACCTCTGGAAGTGTCGAATCCACCAGGGAAATACAGCCAGTTTTAGTAACTTGGATTCTGCTCTCGTTCACGGTTACCTTGATTCTGAGTTAAAGAAACAAATAATCACTCATCTAACTGACTTGAAAACAGAATTCATCAGATACTTCCCAGAGATAGTTGAGAAGCGTGAAGCCTGTAAATTCACGAGGAACCCATTTCAACGTGAAGTAGCTGATGTTTCGGATGAAGTGCAAGAGGAGTTTCTTGAGTTGAAGTTCAACTCCACAGCTAAGGAAGACCTCAAAGAACTGGATCTTGAGACGTTCTGGGTCAAGTACCTTCCTGTTTACCCTCTGATCTCACATCAGGCTCTTCGGATTCTAACTACTATGTTCGGATCCACGTATCTTTGTGAAGCTGCATTTTCCACGCTCGTTGCTGTCAAGACCAAGTACAGAAACAGGCTAAACGTTGAAGGGAATTTACGTTGTGCACTCTCTGGCATTCAACCACGCATTCAAGATCTAGTAGCTAAGAAGCAGTGTCACGTATCTCACTAATTTATACTCAATAAAAAGACTAAAAACACAATATTTTTCATTTTTCTTTAAAATCTGGGAGGGAATTTTATTCATAGATGCAAGGGGGGGCGTGTAGGGAAGGACCAATTCCTAGAGGGGGCGTGGTAGTAAAAAGGTTAAGAACCACTGCTCTAGTGGATCATACAGGCTAATGAATGATAATGAAGATAATGATGGTGATGGTATGGATTGAGCCATCGTGCAGCTGTGGACTGATATAAGCATGGGTGATATACTTACTGCACGTCATCACTCAACAAGTCGAGAACCGCTGCCACACCACCATCTTCTTTACTCACACAAAAAACACCAAATTCGAGGGATTTTCGCCTATGTGAACAATAAACGTTTCTGCACACGCAACACAAATGTACCTACGTGAAATATTGTACACGTCCCACGTCGATATAAAATATGTATGATGGGGATATAGGCGCAACTAATAGGGATACTGGCGCAAATAATAAGGATATAGGCTCAAGTAATAGGGATATTGGCACAAATGTAGGAATATAGGCGCAATTTAGAGGAATATTGGCGCAAATAATAAGGATATAGGCGCAACTAAAAGGGATATCGGCGCAAATGTAGGAATATAGACGCAAATGTAGGAATATAGGCGCAAATAATAGGGATATTGGCGCAAATGATAGGGACATAGGAGTAACTAATAGGGATATTGGCGCAAAGAATAGGAATGTAGGTGCAATTAATAGGGATAATGGCGTAATTAATAGGGATATTGACTTCAATAATAGGGGTACAGATGCAATTAAAAGGAATGTCATAATTAATAGTGATATAGCCGCAATTAATAGGGATATTGACTCCAATAATAGGGGTACAGGTGCAATTAATAAGATGTCATAAATAATAAGGATATAGGCTTATAACGGATTTAGACGCCAAAATAAGAGATATGGCGTCTATGTAATAAAAACACTCAACTCTGATGATCGCTTAGAATACGGATAGTGACGCTATATGAGTAGTGCATGTGCTTGGATGTGTGTACCTGTATGTGGGATATAAACGCTTATGAGGAATACAGTCGATTCAATGAGGGAAATATGCATCTCTATGAGGGATATACGACTTTACATGAGCTATGTTTATCTGTGTCGAATTTACAGGTGTATATGAAAGGTAAAAGGAGCGAGTTTCAGTATAATTATAAGCTTCTGCATTTTGGATATACGAACCTATTTGAGAAATAAGCATGGCTGTGTGAGGAACACTGGAGGAAAGTGGCCATACTAGGCAACACCCAACTCCTATCGCTCATATATCCATCCAATTTATATTTCAAGCTACCCAGCTTATTCAAGTTAACGATGATGTTTGGTAACTTGTTCCACTTATCCACTACTCTATTTCCAAACCAATGTTTACCTATCATGCACCTAAATCTAAGTTTGTCTAATTTAATACCATTGCTACGAGCTCGCTCCTGTTTGGATAGTTTAAGTACCTTTGTTATATCACCTTTGTTTAACCCTGACTTCCATTTATACACCTCGATCATATAACCCTCACTCTACGTCTCTCGAGGGAGTGCAAATTCAGAATGCTTCAATCTGTCTTTTTACTCAAGGTTCCTAATGCCCGGGATTAGTCTTGCCATCCTCCTTTGAATGCTTTCTAGGATTATATATCCTTTCTGTAGTACGGTGACCAGAACTGAACTGCATAATCCAAGCGAGGTCTCACAAGCGCAATATAACCTCGCTAGTTTTGTAACTAACACTCCTTTGTATGAATCCAATTACTTTGTTAGCCTTGTTTCGAGCAAATACACATTGCTGTCTTGGTTTAAGATTCCTACTTATCATTACTCCTAAATCTTTCTCACAGTCGGATTTCTCTATATCAACGTTGTTCATCTGATATCTGGCTTCTCTGTTTACATCTCGACTAAGTACTTTACATTTGTCCACATTAAATATTCACTCATAATGTGGGATATATGCGTCTATAGGAGGAATCTACGAAATCTCTACTTAAGATATACGTGCCTATACGAGGGATATAGGAGATTCAAAGGGATAATTGTGTATGTAGAAAGGATATCGGCTCCTGCACGAAGGATAAAGACTCAAAGGGGGAATATATGCGCGCATGGCTGGCAGCTATTTACAGTATGTGCCTATACGAAGGATATATGTGCCTAAACGAAGGATATATGCCTTTAAGGGAGATAATCGTGCCTATAGGAGATATATAGGGATCTATATGATGGATGTACCTACAATAGATACATATATGAGGGATATGCGGAAGGGTATACTCGCATATGAAAGACAAACGGGCCTGGGTGCGTTGGGTATATAGTGTAGATATATAAGCCTGTGCCTGCGTATGGAAGGAGCCATCGAAAAACCGCGACGATACAGTAACTTGAGAAGAGAGGGAGGTGAGGCAGCGGCTGTTGTTGGGCGGCAAAATTTGAGGTTGGTAAGTTATAATTTAATCGAAAACGTTGTAAAATTGTGGCGAGTATCATGCGAGGCTGTAAGGTGGGTGGCCCGCCCGCCAAGGTGCAGGAGGAGGAGTGTGGAGAGGGGAGGAGGTGGTAGTCAGGTGCAAGGGGGAGAGGGGGGATGAGGTGTGGCGCGGGTGACGGCGGCTCCTTTGATCTGCTCGGCTACCTGCGACCCCCCCCTCCCTCCTCCCCATCCGTCCCAGTCCTCCTCACTACCCCCCCCCAATCCTTCTCCACTCTACCAACACCCCCGTCCTTCTCCACTCTAGCCACACCCCCTCCCCTCCCCGCCTCCCGACACCAACTCACATACTCCTGCCCACCACCTCCTCTTCTCCCTCCTCCCATCTTTGATCTTTATCCCCCTACATCCTTATCCTACTCCACACTCCTCCTCTCGAACTTTTTCCTCCTTCACCTAACTCCTCTTCCACTTTCTCCTCCTCCCCCTCTTCCACTTTCTCCTCCTCCCCCTCGTCCACCTTTCTGTCTGTGTGTAGAATTTGCTTTAGTAAGTTAAGCCTCGGGTGTGTGTCCCAGCCTCAGGTGTGTCCAGTCCAGGTGTCAGGGTGTGTCCTCCAGCCTCATGTGTGTCCCCCAGTCTCAGGTGTGTCCTCCAGCCTCAGGTGTGTCCCCCAGCCTCAGGTGTGTCCCCAGTCTCAGGTGTGTTCCTCAGCCTCAGGTGTGTCCCCAGTCTCAGGTGTGTCCTCCAGCCTCAGGTGTGTCCCCCAGCCTCCAGGTGTGTCCCAGTCTCAGGTGTGTTCCTCCAGCCTCAGGTGTGTCCCCAGGGTGTGTCCCCCAGCCTCAGGTGTGTCCCCAGTCTCAGGTGTGTCCTCAGCCTCCCCCAGTCCAGGTGTGTCCTCAGGTGTGTCCCCCAGCCTCAGGTGTGTCCCCAGTCTCAGGTGTGTCCTCCTTGTGTCCCCAGGGTGTGTCCCCCAGTCTCAGGTGTGTTCCTCCAGCCTCAGGTGTGTCCCCAGTCTCAGGTGTGTCCTCCAGCCTCAGGTGTGTCCCCCAGTCTCAGGTGTCCTCCAGCCTCAGGTGTGTCCCCCAGCCTCAGGTGTGTCCCCAGTCTCAGGTGTGTTCCTCCAGCCTCAGGTGTGTCCCCAGTCTCAGGTGTGTCCTCCAGCCTCAGGTGTGTCCCCAGCCTCAGGTGTGTCCCCCAGTCTCAGGTGTGTTCCTCCAGCCTCAGGTGTAGCCTCAGGTGTGTCCCCAGCCTCAGGTGTGTCCCCCAGCCTCAGGTGTGTCCCCAGCCTCAGGTGTGTCCCCCAGCCTCAGGTGTGTCCCCCAGTCTCAGGTGTGTCCCCCAGCCTCAGGTGTGTCCCCCAGTCTCAGGTGTGTCCCCCAGCCTCAGGTGCGTCCCCCAGTCTCAGGTGTGTCCCCAGCCTCAGGTGCGTCCCCCAGTCTCAGGTGTGTCCCCAGGGTGTGTCCCCCAGCCTCAGGTGTGTCCCCAGCCTCAGGTGTGTCCCCAGCCTCAGGTGTGTCCCCAGCCTCAGGTGTGTCCCCAGCCTCAGGTGTGTCCCCCAGCCTCAGGTGTGTCCCCCCCCAGCCCAGGTGTGTCCCCCAGCCTCAGGTGCGTCCCCAGTCTCAGGTGTGTCCCCAGCCTCAGGTGCGTCCCCCAGTCTCAGGTGTGTCCCCCAGCCTCAGGTGCGTCCCCCAGTCTCAGGTGTGTCCCCAGTCTCAGGTGTGTCCCCCAGCCTCAGGTGCGTCCCCCAGTCTCAGGTGTCCCCAGCCCAGGTGCGTCCCCCAGTCTCAGGTGTGTCCCCCAGCCCAGGTGCGTCCCCAGCCTCAGGTGTGTCCCCCAGTCTCAGGTGTGTCCCCCAGCCTCAGGTGCGTCCCCCAGTCTCAGGTGTGTCCCCAGTCTCAGGTGTGTCCCCCAGTCTCAGGTGTGTCCCCCCCAGCCCCAGGTGTGTCCCCCAGTCTCAGGTGTGTCCCCAGCCTCAGGTGCGTCCCCAGTCTCAGGTGTGTCCCCCAGCCTCAGGTGTGTCCCCAGTCTCAGGTGTGTCCCCCAGCCTCAGGTGCGTCCCCAGTCTCAGGTGTGTCCCCCAGCCTCAGGTGTGTCCCCAGTCTCAGGTGGTCCCCCAGTCTCAGGTGTGTCCCCAGCCTCAGGTGTGTCCCCCAGTCTCAGGTGTGTCCTCCAGCCTCAGGTGTGTCCCCAGCCTCAGGTGTGTCCCCCAGTCTCAGGTGTGTCCCCAGCCTCAGGTGTGTCCCCAGTCTCAGGTGTGTCCCCCAGCCTCAGGTGCGTCCCCCAGGAAGGAATGATACATATTAACTAGAGTATCAGGTGAGGTCAAGCTCCTAATGATTTACAAATGAGTTGTCTACCAGCTGGTACCATCACACTTGACCCTCGTAATTAGGTTCTCGCCTTGACCATCTTATGGTTCGCTCTTGATTTACTTCTTATTGAGCTCTGGATGTTTAGTGTTTCACGCCAGATAAAATCATTATTAAATGCTATAATAATAATAATAATAATAATAATAATAATAATAATAATAATAATCATTTACCAACAGCGTACACACACACACACACACACACACACACACACACACACACACACACACACACACACATATTAATCCTCTGAGCTGTGGTTGTCAAATATTTTACACGTGTGAGGACTTAATTATCTTGTGTCAAGAAATATCCCAGATTGTGGACGACGTTCGCCGAGTAACGTCTGCGTCCGCTCTTGAATGTGTATCAACAGGATGACATAATCAACATTAAAAAGAACAATGCAATTTTTTCCTCTTATATTTTTATTCATATTGCTGCCATTTGAAGAGTTGATACAAGTTCGCCAATATGTGTTCAAATGACCGTACGTTACAGTAGAGCGGTGGCTGATTGGATAAAGCATTTGCCTCCTATCCTAACGCTATCTAGTTTGATTACGGGGCACACCCCATGTCCACCCAGCAGTAAACGGGTACCAAACTTTACAGTTGGAGAAATGAAGGTGATGGCCACGTTGTGTCTTTGTGTACCAAAGACTTAGTGTGTTGTATCCACCAAGGTCTCTTGGTATCATATTGCAACTATATCTTGCGCTAGTCAGGCCGCACCTCGATTATGCTTTTCAGTTCTGGTGCCCTTATTATAGAATAGTTATCAATTCACTGGAGTCGGTGCAGCGAAGAATGACGAAAATGTTTCCGGGACTTAGAAACCTTCCATATCAAGATAGATTAAAGAAACTAAACTTGCATTCCCTAGAAAGACGAAGAGTGCGGGAAGATATGATAGAAGTATTTAAGTGGGTGAAAAGAATCAGTAAAGGAGATATAGATAAAGTTCTTATAATATCCGATCAGGATAGGACTCGTAGCAACGGATTTAAGTTGGGTAAGTTTAGATTTAGGAGGGAGATAGGAAGAAACTGGTTCACAAATAGGGTGGTAGACGAGTGGAACAAGCTTAGCAACTTTGTAGTAAGTGCTGGAACGCCGGAAAGTTTTAAAAGGAGGCTAGATAGATTCATGGATGATAGAGAGTGGTAGTAACTCTCAACAGGAGCTGCCATGCACAGGCCAACCGGCCTATTGCAGACTCCTTATTTCCTTATGTTCTAATGTTATCCACACGGTCCCTAGCGGGTAACCATGCTTCTATGGGACGGCACTTTGAAGCTTGTGTAGTATGACACCTCTTTGACTTCCGGAGACTCTCTCTCTCTCTCTCTTCCACACACACACACACACACACCAAGAGATTTCTGCTCCTACAATAAATACGAGTACATCATTCCCCATCCTCACCCTTCACACCTCCCGCCCCCTCCCCTCGTCCTCTTCTGTGTTCCTCACGACCCTCCAGAAGGAGCTGGGGGAGGGGGGGGGAGGGCTGTCACTCTGGATTAGCGTGTTAATAACAAGGCGACTAATGCTCCGACTCTAATGTTCACAAAACCTAATTGAACATTTCCGTATCACCGCCTCAACCTCCCCCCTCGACATCTACGGGGAACAAGGGGAAAGGGGGAGTGTGAGGTAGAGGTGTTAGGTAGGGGCGTCAGGTGAGAACGTGCTCTTGTTTACATTGCAATTTGCCAAAAATTTCTCTTGTGTTCCTCAGGGGAGCAGTTATAGTTACCTCCATCGTTTATCTCATCTTATCAGTCACGACTCAAATGGTATGCCGAGGGTGTTAGTGGAGGGAAGGTGGAGGTGTGCTGTGGGTGTTAGTGGGAGGAAGGTGGAGGTGTGCTGTGGGTGTTAGTGGGAGGAAGGTGGAGGTGTGCTGTGGGTGTTAGTGGGAGGAAGGTGGAGGTGTGCTGTGGGTGTTAGTGGGAGGAAGGTGGAGGTGCTGTGGGTGGTGGGAGGAAGGTGGAGGTGTGCTGTGGGTGTTGGTGGGAGGAAGGTGGAGGTGTGCTGTGGTGTTGTTAGTGGGTGAGGGAAGGTGGAGGTGTGCTGTGGGTGTTAGTGGGAGGAAGGTGGAGGTGTGCTGTGGGTGTTAGTGGGAGGAAGGTGGAGGTGTGCTGTGGGTGTTAGTGGGAGGAAGGTGGAGGTGTGCTGTGGGTGTTAGTGGGAGGAAGGTGGAGGTGTGCTGTGGGTGTTAGGTGGGAGGAAGGTGGAGGTGTGCTGTGGTGTTAGTGGGAGGAAGGTGTGGGTGTTAGTGGGAGGAAGGTGGAGGTGTGCTGTGGGTGTTAGTGGGAGGAAGGTGGAGATGTGCTGTGGGTGTTAGTGGGAGGAAGGTGGAGGTGTGCTGTGGGTGTTAGTGGGAGGAAGGTGGAGTGTGCTGTGGGTGTTAGTGGGAGGAAGGTGGAGGTGTGCTGTGGGTGTTAGTGGGAGGAAGGTGGAGGTGTGCTGTGGGTGTTAGTGGGAGGAAGGTGGAGGTGTGCTGTGGGTGTTAGTGGGAGGAAGGCGGAGATGTGCTGTTGGTGCTAGGTTAGGTTACGTTTGGTTCTAGTGCCTGGTTTAAAAGATACTGAAGTAGGTCTTAAGTTACCTGACCAGGATAGGACGGTGGGCGGAGACGAGGGACTGACAGCTATCATGACCAGGATGTTTATACCTTTGATGGGCCGTCCCCGGGGGAGTGCCTCTATCCCTGGTAGGTCTGTCCGTCTAAAGGCCATAGCATGTGTTGTATCTGCCACTTAAGGTCAGGATGTAATGACAGAATACACAAGTTAGGCAGTCTCTCTCAGTTTAATTATGTCACCATTTTTGTCATCATTGGTTAAGTGAGACAACAAGATTTGCCCTTAAGTATCCAGTTACGAGAGACAAAGTGAGGCACAGTAACCTTTGGGAATAAAGGCTATTGGACAGTCTTTTCCTAAGGTTGGCATGTACTGTATTTGATTCCGAAATAAGTATATAAGATCACATATATAACTCTCACTCAATATCTTGGAAATTCCGCTAAGACTGTCCCTGGTAACTTCTCTTATCAATAGTTCGAAGAAAAACACTAGATGTCGCTTCCATGTGTTGACCTAAAGTCGATCAAGTGATATAATTATGAAGTCCCTTAATCCCGTTGTATAATTAATCGAATAGTGTCAATTATCAACCAGGTACGTTAAAGGAAAATCATTCCAACGTGTTCAGAAGTTGTCACATTTACAGGTCACGGAAGGCACGTGTATCTTGCAAACTCGTTCACGAATGTTGAGAATACATGGATAAGGTAATAGTGAGAGGAGAAGGAGGGGGTATTAGACAAGCGGAGGGGGTATTAAGGGAGGAGAAGTAGGGGATGAAGTACCAACGTCTTCACTCCCTGGGGAAGTTGGGGGGCGATGATACGTACTGGGGAGGGAAGGATTTGACCCAGGGGGCGGAGAGTCTTCGAAGATCATCATCACAGGTCTATACTCTAACCAGCACACAGGTCAGGTCACTCTCACCATCACACCCATAAATGTGTTTGTCATCAACGTGACTGTGGCTCTATTTTGCTCGAAACTTTTGGCCTGAAATCGATTACCAGTTATACATTGCAAGAACCAGCAACAGTAAGCCTAACCTGATCTGACCTAACCTGACCTGACCTAACCTAACCTAACCTCACATAACCTAAGCTGACCTTACCTAACCTAACCAAACCTGACCTATCCTAACCCAACCTGACCTAACCTGACATAACCTAACCTAACCAAACTTAACCTGACCTGACCTGATCTAACCTAACCCGACCTGACCTAACCATACCAAACCAAACTTAACCTGACCTGACCTAACCCGACCTGACTTAACCATATGGAAGTCTATGGATAGATCAAGAAAGCGTATAAGAGTTGAGCACCAAGTTGGTACAAAACGCATGACTGTATGTCTGTTAATTGTTCATTTATTTCATTTCAAATAAGGAAATATAATTTAGGGTAACTGCGAAAGGTTCAGCATCCATAACTTCCCCTTCAACAAGAGATAGACCAAGAATCAACAAATGGCTGCAGCGTTAAACCGAAATATAGTTTTAAAAAATCCCTTACGCTAAAAACGCTATTCCATAAATCACGTTAAGAATAGAGTAAGATTTGTTGAATAAAAGCCAAAAAATATCCCTCGTGTATGACATTTACAATAGTATCAGTTACAGCAGAAAAAGTTAAATTTTAATGTAAGTAACGGCCGATACAACACACAGCTAAAACTCATACTAGAAATATTATTAAAAACAAAAACGTTTAAAGTTATGTGTTGATCTATACCATTAAAATAATATTATTTGGGCGAGGATAACATTGTGTGTAGAGGGTGGCAGCTATTGTCTCCTCTTTACTAAGTTGTGCCTCAATGTTGTCCTCGTCACCAGGACACACCGTCACCAGGACACAGCGTCACCTGGACACACTGTCACCAGGACACACCATCACCAGGATACACTGTCACCAGGACACACTGTCACCAGCACACACCGCCACCAGGACACACCGTCACCAGGACACACCGTCACCAGGACACATTGTCACCAGCACACACCGTCACCAGGACACACCCGTCACCTGGACACACCGTCACCAGGATACACTGTCACCAAGACACACTGTCACCAGCACACACCGCCACCAGGACACACCGTCACCAGGACACACCGTCACCAGGACACATTGTCACACACACCGTCACCAGGACACACCGTCACCAGGACACACCGTCACCTGGACACACCTTCACCAGGATACACTGTCACCAGGACACACTGTCACCACACACACACCAGGACACAACTTCACCAGGACACACCGTCACCAGGACACATTGTCACCAGCACACACTGTCATCAGCACACACCGTCACCAGGACACACTGTCACCAGCACACACCGCCACCAGGACACACCGCCACCGACACACCGCCACCAGGACACAACTTCACCAGGACACACCGTCACCAGGACACACCGTCACCAGGACACACTGTCATCAGCACACACCGTCACCAGGACACACTGTCATCAGCACACACCGTCACCTGACACACCATCACCTGGACACACCGTCACCAGGACACACTGTTACCAGGACACACACCAGGACACACCGTCACCAGGACACACTGTTACCAGGAAACACCGTCACCTGGACACACCATCACCTGGACACACTGTTACCAGGACACACTGTCACCAGCACACACCGTCACCTGGACACACCGTCACCTAGACACACTGTTACCAGGACACACCGTCACCTGGACACACCATCACCTGGACACACTGTTACCAGGAAACACGGTCACCTGGACACACTGTCACCAGGACACACTGTCACCAGCACACACCGTCACCTGGACACACCGTCACCGACACCTCACCTGGCACCACACCGTCACCAGGACACACCATCACCAGGACACACCGTCACCTGGACACACTGTCACCAGGACACACCCATCACCTGGACACACTGTCACCAGCACTCACTGTTACCAGGACACACCGTCACCAGGACACACCGTCACCTGGACACACCATCACCTGGACACACTGTCACCAGGACACACTGTCACCAGCACACACCGTCACCAGGACACACCGTCATCTGGACACACCGTCACCAGGATACACTGTCACCAGCACACACCGCCACCAGGACACAACTTCACCAGGACACACTGTCACCAGCACACACCGTCACCAGGACACACCGTCACCTGGACACACCGTCACCAGGATACACTGTCACCAGGACACACTGTCACCAGCACACACCGTCACCAGGACACACCGTCACCAGGACACATTGTCACCAGCACACACTGTCATCAGCACACACCGTCACCAGGACACACTGTCACCAGCACACACCGCCACCAGGACACAACTCACCAGGACACACCGTCACCAGGACACACCGTCACCAGGACACACCGTCACCAGGACACACTGTCATCAGCACACACCGTCACCAGGACACACTGTCACCAACACACACCGTCACCTGGACACACCATCACCTGGACACCGTCACCAGGACACACTGTCACCAACACACACCGTCACCTGGACACACCATCACCTGGACACCGTCACCAGGACACACTGTTACCAGGACACACCGTCACCAGGACACACCGTCACCAGGACACACTGTTACCAGGAAACACCGTCACCTGGACACCATCACCTGGACACACTGTTACCAGGACACACTGTCACCAGCACACACCGTCACCTGGACACACCGTCACCAGGACACACCGTCACCTGACACACCATCACCTGGACACGTCACCAGGACACACCATCACCAGGACACACCGTCACCTGACACACTGTCACCAGGACACACCATCACCTGGACACACTGTCACCAGCACACACCGTCACCAGGACACACTGTTACCAGGACACACCGTCACCTGACACACCATCACCTGGACACACTGTTACCAGGACACACCGTCACCAGGACACACCGTCACCAGGACACACTGTTACCAGGAAACACCGTCACCTGGACACACCATCACCTGACACACTGTTACCAGGACACACCATCACCTGGACACACTGTCACCAGCACACACCGTCACCTGACACACCATCACCTGGACACACCGTCACCAGGACACACTGTTACCAGGACACACCGTCACCAGGACACACCGTCACCAGGACACACTGTTACCAGGAAACACCGTCACCTGGACACACCATCACCTGGACACACTGTTACCAGGACACACTGTCACCAGCACACACCGTCACCTGGACACACCGTCACCTAGACACACTGTTACCAGGACACACCGTCACCTGGACACACCGTCACCAGGACACACCGTCACCTGGACACACCATCACTAAGACTCACCATCTCTACGACACACCATCACTACGACACACCATCACTACGACACACCAGGGCACATCATCACCAAAACAATGAAATGATCTCCAGGACAAAAACACTATGACAATGACACATCATCATTCAGCTTAAGGATTAGGGACCAATCAGTGATTATCCGAAAGATTATCTACTAATCCTCGAGTGGTCGGAGTCACAGACAAATTATCCCTCAAGCAGATGTTTTAAGTGATCCTTGACGCTAATCCTTAAGTGGAGGAGGAGGTGATTGTAGCGGTGATAAACTTGAATAGCCTCAAAAATTTGTACTGTACGTCAGGTTAGGTTCTACTTAATAATATGTACTCAAACTATCTAACCAGGAGCGAACTCGTAACAATGTTTATAAATTAGACACATTTAGATTTAAGCGCGAAATAGGTAAGCATTGTTTTGTAAATAGAGTAGTAGACGAGTGGAACAAGTTACCAAACATCATCATTAACTCAAATACGCTGGATAGCTTCAAACATAGGTTGGATGGATATATAAGCGATAAGGGTTGGGTGTAAATGGGACTGCCCAGTATATGGGCCAATAGGTCCGCTGCAGTTTCCTCCATTTTTATGTTCTTATATACAGTATGAGTGTCTCCTGTGTATATATCCAGGATTACTTTCTTTGCCTTACTTTAATTTACTTGATCCTCTTCGCCACTAATCGGTCAGCTAGACTCTTGGTCGGTCTCATCTTTGTTACACATTGGCCAGTACCGGCCATGTACTAGCTCTAGATGTATCTGTACTTGCGCCAGTGTTGGTTAAGTTCTGGTCTTCAATGAGCTTACATTGGCACGGCGTCGTCACACCACTGGCAGATTGTTCCAATAGCTCACAACTTACCCCAAATACGTTTGCTTTGACTGTTTTGTAAAGGCTTAACAGTACACCAGTCAGCAATGGAGTGTGCACTGAGAATACATAGCATTCATAAGCTCAACAGTCAACAACAGACACAGAGAGGAAAGTTAAAGGACTCACAACAAACGTCCATGGAGTTTGGAAGCTGAACCACAGATTGCAGTATAATGACACAGGGGTTGAAACAGCTTCGGTTTAGGAAGGCACGGGAAGGTTGGAGGACTTTTGTGGCCGACTGTACGTACTGTACACCTGCATAATGCACACAATGATGTTCGTGTACGATCTCGGACAACAGTTGGTAAACTCCGACCTGGTGTAGTACCGTACTGCACAGGTATATGTACAATACATTGAATCTCGGAGCTCTTTGAGTCTGAAGCTTCATAAACAAATTGTTCTGTTTACCAAACGATGGCGCGCTTCCCTTATTAGTTCTTTAATGTGTGCATGTGTGTGTAAAGGTTTACGTTTGTCTGTGTGTACATGCATACGGAATTAAAATACATACACTAACATATGTGCACAGCTGAAACACACACACACACACAGCCCACACGAGCACGTACTGGTCGCTATAAGAACAGCCCAGTCCCAACCATCTTAATCAACCAGTGTATTCACGCCCAGCCAATCTTACCTTTTTGCACTGTCACTATGTTGAAATGCCCTATAGTATGACCTCCCCACCTAGTTATTATATATCATATTTGTATCACTTATGTTACTTGTATATTATTTGTCAATCAAGAGACCCATTCCCCAATTATGCACCTGTATATTTTAAGCCTTCCGGCTGCCATGCTCTTTCAATAAGCCGTTAATAATAATAATAATAATAATTATTATTATTACACACACACACACACACACACACACACACACACACACACAGTGGTCACAATATAACTCACGTGTGTTTCGTTTTTTATATAATTCGTGTTTTATGTATTTCCTGTAATTACGGTGAGGTTTCATATGTATTACTGTATCACTTATGAAGTGTGCAGCGTATAAGTATAAATTTGACTGAGTATTTGTGACTGTAGTGACGAGTGCATGGATGGGAGTGTGTGTATCGAGGTAGTTAGTGATGATGGTTCACCCTTATGTACAGCGGCCTTGCCCAGTGACTATAGTGACCAGGGGATGTCTCTCTTAGTCCCAGACTTTATTTCTCATTGACAGTACTAACTGGTTAGTGTTTCAGTTAAAGGGAAGTATACACGGCCTTTTTTTCTAATCAACCTTCGGAGCCGTCCATTAAGGGGGTAACATTCTGATATGTTCTTACTACCACCATATTATGTGTACAGTATACTGTATATCAGGTGCCTCCAAGAGAGCTCAGGTTCTCAACTGGCTCATCATTGTTAATATTGTTATTATTATCGACTCTGTATCTGTCTTCTTCTAGCTAAATAAACTGTTCCAATACCAATATCAATGGACACAGCTGCGCCTTTGTCAGTAAACAAGTCTCTCTCAGGTATGACTCATGAACTGCTGTCAGACTTTGTACGAGTAAAATCTAGCACAAAGTTAATATAAAGTTAATTAAGATAAAGACACAACATAAGCAATTTTAAGAAACATTTGGTGTCCATGTTCTGTTGGTGACTGTAATGGCATGTGAGGTTGGGCTGTGTTTACTTATTTAGTGGGTAAGTTGGGCAGTGAGTACAGGCTGATGGTGGGGTTGTGTGAGGGTAAAAGCTTAGAGATACAACAGATGAAATACTGCCAGTGACCAGAGTTCCTGGCCTGTACTGTTTTGTACTGTAGTACTCTTGCACACAAGTACACAAGTACACAATAGATGTTTTACCTAAATGATATACTGTACTTGGTTTTAGTTTCCCCGCAGTCATTTCATCCTCCTGATACCTGCAGATATTTTTCATGAAATTTGTCAAATTAGAGTTAGAGTTTTACGTAGATAGATTTATGTCCGTGAAATTATTTAATCTTGATGCTGCAGACATTAGCTTGAAAGCCAAGACAAGACAAGACAAGACGCCTTCTTCTTGAGAGGAAAAAACTTGAAAGTACTTCAAGAGAAAATATTTGGCAGGGCAGAAAGTTAAAATACTAAAATATCATTAACAATGGAAGTGCATAAATAAATCCTGGTGATATCCATAGCCTTGTGAGAAGAAGGAATGTGGCGCCGACCAGCGACGATGCCCCCCACGTTGTCGACTAGGAAGGCCCCGCCTCCCCTATCACCTCCTTCACACCCGCCACACCAATCACAGCCTCCCAGCCAAGCATCAAAGAGACCGCCGTGAGAACCAGCCAATAGAAAGTCGGGCGATGGGCGGAGTCTGGGAGGCCAAAAAGTGTAGGTTCTAGTGTACCGCCTTGTAGTTTGACACCTGAGTTTGTGGGTGGCGTAGACCATACAAGGTTCTGCGAACAGTGTCTAGCTTGTTAACGAGTCAACAAGGTGAGGGTGTCACCAGTGGTCACACGGACTGGCATAACTACGCTGTGACAGTGTACAACACTTGTTACTGGAGATAACAGTGCGCGACGCGGGTTGACAACATGACTATTAGGCCTATCTTCACCGGCTATCCGTTTCAGGGTAAGTCTCCAACAGTGTATTGAAGATCTTAAGTAATATTAGAGGAGCTCACATAATTTATATATTACTTATCAAAGGTAAAGATTTTATTGGCCACACATTAGGTGTGTATATAAATATTATTTGGTCTCTCTCTTGGGGTCCGTCTCAGGTATTTATAATCCTGATAAACCTGAAGTTAGTTACCTTATGTGAGGTAGGACGTAATAATCTACAACAATTATTATACTTCAGCTCTTCCTTGAGACTTGTGTTCTTGAGTATCTATCAGTTAATATGACCAGTTTTATAGTTTATAAATGTTTAGGTCGGTTGGTCTAGCTCAGGTGTCAATTATTTACTTCACATTTTTAGCCCACCTTGCTTCACTTTTCTTACACATAATTAACACTTGATCATAATTGTGAGCCCATTAGTTATACACTTTGGTAGGCTTATACCTTAGTCCAGTGCAACCAGATTTATCTTCTTTTTTTTATTTAATTTTTATAAGGATTAAATTGAGTCTAAGGTCAACAACATATACTGTAGAAGTACAGTTTTAGTTGTAATGTGAGACAGTATATAGACATGTGATCTTTAATTAGTGTTTATTATTAGAGGTAGTTTGTGTTTTACCAGGTGTTTAGTTCATAAATTATCGTTATTAGATCTGTCGCGAGACATATAATAGAATAATTTGGAGTTAATAAATTACTTGTTGAGGTTGTTTTTAGTATTAGTGTGACGTCAGTTATTATTGCTATTAGTGTTAGTTAATGTTGAACTTTCTTTAGATTAGTTAATGTTAATCTCTATAGCTGAAATGTCCGTGTGAATAAGTAGGTTCTGACGTATATTTTTATCTCACCTCTCCCTCTCCCCCTAGTGTTTTATTATGGTAGATCAGGGAACAGGGGAAAGGAGATAATTACAGCTGGAAGTCAAGTTGTATCCTCTACTTGCTGTAGGTTAGGGTAGGTCAGGTTCCGCTCGTTTTTTGTTTATATTTCCGTGGGAGTGTGTATATTCCGCAGCCATCAGTGCTGGTGCCCACTTATCATAGGAACTCTTCATGCGTGGCCAATTACCGCTACATGCAGGCTGTTCCCGCCATCACACAGGAAAACCCTGCAGGAAACACTCACTCTCAGAGGTTCCTGCGCTAATATTTTTTTTCATAGACCGTAAAATATAACCACCAGAAAACACACATCATGACGTTATACTCTACTCTCAGAAAAGGACATTTTTGGCACTAATTTTGTATTATAGCTTCAGTGAGTAAATCAGATACGTTGATAAATCTTCAGTTTGGGGAGAAAATTTAACCAAAGGAAGGTTAGTGAGTGGGAGGTGTGACCCGCCAACCACCCAACTAAATTACCACTTTGCATGTACAAATATAACACGATGGAAGTTTTTCATGTACAAATAAAGCATTATACAACGATAATATTCGGTATTAGGCGACCAGCTGGGTGTACTTCCGGTGTCAACACAGACTGACAGACAGACTAATACCACTCCATCATCCCAAACCCGGATAATCTGTACCTCAAGCGCGGGATAATAATAACCCACAATTATAGCCGTGATCATAACATTAATTCCAACTACACCTTCCTGGAGTCATGTACAGTCAGTGAGTTTATTAAAAGTTCGCGACACAAGTACAGGTGTAAGCATACAGGTACACAGTAATATATATTGTAAAGTTGTTGCCTTCAACTATACTTCAGCCCAGGACTTAAAGCAGACCTAAACAAAACCCTGACTTACTTCAGACCAAGCCAAGACCTACCTCAGACCTAACCAAGACGTACCTCAGATATAGCCAAGACCTACATCATACCTAGCCAAGACCTAACCTAGCCTAGCTATTCTCTAGTACTGTAAATACCGCGAAAAACGCCCAGTGTATCTAGATACCGATAAATAAAAACCCAACTTCAATACAGTACACCTATTTGTCTCTTAAGGTGAGTGTTATATGTACTGTAGAAGCATCCAAGTCTGTAAAGGGTGACCATCAAGGTATGGCCTGGTCAAGTAAACCCCTACTGTGCCTCACACAACTAAGGTCAATAGGTCATAACTCTGTGCAGTGATAACATAACAAAGTCAACGGGTTACAACGTTTATCAATCATGGACGTAGATAATGAGACACACGGAAGGAAGACAGATAATGAGACACACGGAAGGAAGACAGATAATGAGACACACAGAAGGAAGACAGATAATGAGACACACAGAAGGAAGACAGATAATGAGACACACGGAAGGAAGACAGATAATGAGACACACAGAAGGAAGACAGATAATGAGACACACAGAAGGAAGACAGATAATGAGACACACGGAAGGAAGACATAGATACTGAGACACACAGAAGGAAGACATAGATACTGAGACACACATAAGGAAGACATAGATACTGAGACACACATAAGGAAGACATAGATACTGAGACACACAGAAGGAAGACGTAGATACTGAGACACACAGAAGGAAGACGTAGATACTGAGACACACAGAAGGAAGACATAGATACTGAGACACACAGAAGGAAGACATAGATACTGAGACACACAGAAGGAAGACGTAGATACTGAGACACACAGAAGGAAGACGGCGGTGGATAAATACGGTTATTTATCTCTTTTTCTCAGTGGTATTGACACACTTACACCCAATGCCGGAAGCCCCATCGCTGTTCACCTGACGGATTTCAGCAAATCGATCCGATAATTTACGCTAAATCATCATATTTTTTGTGTAGCTTTATACGGAATTATCTGTCGATTGGTAAAGTGAGTATTAGCAGTGTGCATAATGACCTAAACTGACAGGTAGACAGACAGGTGAGGCGGATCTGTATGTTATCGTTAAAGCGAATCAACATCCGGGAAACTTTGCTAAAATGATAAATTAATTGTCAAATAAATAAAAAACTGAGGACAAATATCATACCCAGAATTTGAGGTCCCGCTAGAAAGAAAATGTCCCTCTCGGGAAAAACCATTATCAATTATGTCAGTAAAGGAGAATATTTACCTAACGAAACGCAGACAAAATTTATAATGTATACAACAGCAGTGACGCTCTCTCCCTGTCTCTCACACTCACACACACTCTCTCTCTCTCTCCCTGTCTCTCACACTCACACACACACTCTCTCTCTCTCTCTCAAGTGGTCAACAGATTCCATGATATCCATTTGTAGTGAACAAATTTTTACGACGATTTATTTTAAAGAAAAAATATTTTCTTCCGAATATAATGTCAACAAACTCGAGGAAGTACATTGGTTAATGAGTCAGTTTAAGTTAAAGATGGATAATTTGGCCAAGCTTTACAATAATTGGCCTTACATTTAAAACAACTGTGTTACTATCGAAGACTTAACAATTTAGCTCAGATTTTAAACAATTTCTTCTTTTCATTAAGAGTATGTGTAAGTGACGGCCATCGACAGTGAAAATAATTTTACTCACTTATGACAACTTGGTCCAGAATGAAGATTACTTGGACGAGAAATAATTGATCCAAAGTTGTCATTAGTTATTTATGATATAAAATGATTAAAGACATATTTATAAGTTAAGCTATTTTAGCTTATTATTATTATTATTATTATTATTATTATTATTATTATTATTATTATTATTGTTATTATTATCTATATTATAATTATCATTATAATGTTATAATTATAATGATTAATATTTTTTAACTGGGGGAAAATCCGCTGGATAAAATCGTATATCCCAAATAACTAACAACAAAATACCTGCAGCTGAAGTTTCTTTATGCTGTAATATATTCATTGGTTGTGGTGAATTCTGTTAGGTTGTGAGGTTAGGTTAAATTCTATTAAGTTAAGTAAGGTTAGGTTAGGTTAGGTCAGGGAGGTCCCACTGCCTAACCCTGAAGACAGCTGGTGGTGTTTGTACAGGTCAGGGCCGCGTGAACCAGCTGGGCGGCGTGTTCATCAATGGTCGCCCTCTACCCAACCACATTCGCCTCAAGATCGTAGAGATGGCGGCGGCGGGCGTGCGTCCGTGCGTCATCTCCCGCCAGCTGCGCGTCTCCCACGGCTGTGTCTCCAAGATCCTCAACCGCTACCAGGAGACCGGCTCTATCAGGCCAGGCGTCATCGGCGGCTCCAAGCCTAAGGTGACCACCCCAGATATTGAGAAACGTATCGACGAATACAAGAAAGAGAATCCTGGTGTGTTCTCCTGGGAGATCAGAGATAGACTCATCAAGGTAAGACCCCAGTCTCTTGTTGACGGAGGAGGACGTGTGTATGGGGGGAGCAGATTCATCAAGGTAAGACCCCAGTCTCTTGTTGACGGAGGAGGACCTGTGTATGGGGGGAGCAGACTCATCAAGGTAAGACTCCAGTCTCTTGTTGACGGAGGAGGACCTGTGTATGGGGGGAGCAGATTCATCAAGGTAAGACTCCAGTCTCTTGTTGACGGAGGAGGACCTGTGTATGGGGGGAGCAGATTCATCAAGGTAAGACTCCAGTCTCTTGTTGACGGAGGAGGACCTGTGTATGGGGGGAGCAGACTCATCAAGGTAAGACTCCAGTCTCTTGTTGACGGAGGAGGACCTGTCTATGGGGGGAGCAGACTCATCAAGGTAAGACTCCAGTCTCTTGTTGAGGGGGAGGACTCGTGCGCGTGTGTGTGTGTACGTATGTATAGTTGGAATTCTACGTGTATGCAGGGAAGGGGAGGATGATTCACTAAGGTAAGACTCTGTAAGGTTGTGTGTGTGTGTGTGTGTCGGGGGGGGGGAGGGTTGTGGCAGTCTTCCGGGGTAATGACTCACCTGTGTGTAAGAGAACATCTGTAAGAGGAGGAGGCACCGACTTGTTGCTTAAATGAGATCAACATCTAACGACCAATACTAATGAAAGTTAACAAGCATTACTGAAAGGCGGGAAAGAGGTGAGGTAGAGGGTCAATCACCGCTCACCTGTACTAATAGGTCAGGCCAGGTGGGTCTCTAGGGACGGATCATCACTGTAGTATTTAGGACGAGCGTCCCAGGTCACAGGTCATCAGTGTTGTGGCCAGATTATCGCCTCTATACGAATATACTTAATGCTTTACGACTTCCGGTGTAAGACTTTCCACGTAAGTGATCATGATTATTAACCTTATTTAAGGTTTCACGGACTTTATAAAATAAACGTGAGGATGACGCGTTTGGAATCTTCAAAATCTACTTATTATATAATAATTATAAATATAGAAATTAATTTGAGATTAGAATCTATCAAAGTTAATAGACAAAGTACTGCCTGATCGGTACCTGTGTTCAAGGTCAGTTTCTTTTGTTGTAGAATAAGTGAAAATCGTAAAAGAAACTAAAGCAACAAACTGTGTTTGATCACATCAGAGATGAAAGAGTTCCGTCTGGTGATCAATTCTGCGATGTGAGGGGGGGGGGGGCGGCAGGGTAGATTGAGAGAGAGAGCCCCAGACAGACGATCAGCAGTAGGACGCACCTTTTACAGAGACACACGGAAGCTGAAGACATAATGTAGCCATTTTCGAGTCCAGTGGTCGACCACGTCTTGATGGACACCGGAGACTCTAAGCTCTCGGCCACCACCAGTCGCAACCAGATAGGATTAAGGGTGATTAAAAAGTCAAGTTTAGGGGGGATTTATATATCGAAGACAGGGATTAACGAGTTGTGTGTGGGTGGTGGCTGTCCCCGGCATGGAGGTCCTCGGGGACATGACGGTGCTGGTAGGAGTTCGACAGGGTGAGACAAAGTTCAACAGGGTCCGACAGATTTCGACGGTCTTGGAGTTTGGAAGTGTCCGACAGAGTTTGACACGGTCTTACAGAGCTTGGTAGGATATGATTGAATTTGGCAGGATCTGGCAATGTGACAATGTATTTAAAATGGTCTGACCAGGCTGCTCAACAAATCCATTTGTAAGAATCTTTGGAGAGAGAGAGAGAGAGAGAGAGAGAGAGAGAGAGAGAGAGAGAGAGAGAGAGAGAGAGAGAGAGAGAGAGATACCCCACTAATCCACTGCCACAATAAGGGGTCACATTAGTACTATCATCGGCTTAATCTTCCGCCACAATTAACCACATTGTTGGTAGTGGGTGGTGGGTGCAGGCGTGATGGTTCCCCCTGACAGCGGGTGTGGGCGGGGGACTTGTCACATCCCCGTCAGCGACCACAAAGCGTCAGCCAGAAGGGTCGACGGTGTCAGGAAGGTAGTGAGGGCGAAGTTCTGAAGCCGCCAGCAAGCCAGTGTGTGTGTGTGTGTGTGTGTGTGTGTGTGTGTGTAGAGAAGGTTGGAACGGTCATAGATACGTTCTCTTAACTAAATCAGTCTCGTGCTTTGATTAATCAGAATTAATATATTTCTCCTGCCAAGCGTTTCAGTAAATACAGTGTCATTATGAGAAGCTTAGGAAGAGATCTCATTAGAATTAAAATAAAAAAGTTAACCTAAATTACATGATTTAGTTATATATAAACACGTAGATAATATTGACACACCAGTTGAAATCAGTTTAAGATTTAGCTTAATCCTTTGATGACGATGATTTAACACTCTGATGACGATGATTTAACCCTTTACTGACGACATTTTAACCCTTTGATGACGATGATTTAACACTCTGATGGCGATGATTTAACACTCTGATGACGATGATTTAACCCTTTAATGACGATATTTTAACCCTTTAATGACGATGATTTAACACTCTGATGACGATGATTTAACCCTTTGATGACGATGATTTAACCCTTTAATGACGATGATTTAACCCTTTAATGACGATGATTTAACCCTTTAATGACGATGATTTAACACTCTGATGACGATATTTTAACCCTTTAATGACGATGATTTAACACTCTGATGACGATGATTTAACACTCTGATGACGATGATTTAACCCTTTAATGACGATGATTTAACCCTTTGATGACGATGATTTAACACTCTGATGACGATGATTTAACACTCTGATGACGATGATTTAACCCTTTAATGACGATGATTTAACACTCTGATGACGATGATTTAACACTCTGATGACGATGATTTAACCCTTTAATGACGATGATTTAACACTCTGATGACGATGATTTAACCCTTTAATGACGATGTTTTAACCCTTTGATGACGATGATTTAACACTCTGATGACGATGATTTAACCCTTTAATGACGATGTTTTAACCCTTTGATGACGATGATTTAACACTCTGATGACGATGATTTAACCCTTTAATGATGATATTTTAACCCTTTGATGACGATGTTTTAACCCTTTGATGACGATGATTTAACACTCTGATGTCGATGATTTAACACTCTGATGACGATGATTTAACCCTTTAATGACGATGATTTAACACTCTGATGACGATGATTTAACCCTTTAATGACGATGATTTAACACTCTGATGACGATGATTTAACCCTTTAATGTCGATGATTTAACCCTTTAATGACGATGTTTTAACCCTTTGATGACGATGATTTAACACTCTGATGACGATGATTTAACCCTTTAATAACGATGATTTAACACTCTGATGACGATGATTTAACCCTTTAATGACGATGATTTAACCCTTTAATGACGATGTTTTAACCCTTTGATGACGATGATTTAACACTCTGATGACGATGATTTAACCCTTTAATGACGATGTTTTAACCCTTTGATGACGATGATTTAATCCTCTGACGACGATGATTTAACCCTTTGATGACGAAGATTTAACACTCTGATGACGATGATTTAACCCTTTACTGACGATATTTTAACCCTCTGATGATGAGGATTTAACCCTCTGATGTCGATGATTTACCCATTGATGACGATAATTTAACCCTTTGATGACGATGATTTAACCCTTTACTGACGATATTTTAACCCTTTGATGACGATAATTTAACCCTTTAATGACGATGATTGAAGCCTTTTACGACAATGATTTAACCCTTTGACGATGATGACTTAATCCTTTTAAGACGATCATTTAACCCTTTACTGACAATGATTGAACCCTTTGACAATGGTGACTTAACCCTTTGAAGACGATAACACACCGCCCTTCAGGACTCAAAGGGTTAAGTGAGATAACTGTCCATCAACATAACTATGATCCTTCACTTCCGGTCCTCATCACCTTTCCGGGTTCTTCTTCGTCAGGAGGGCGTAGTGGACAAGGTGACGGCGCCTTCTGTCAGCTCCATCAGTAGGATCCTGAGGGGCGGGAAGAGGGACGACGACCCAAGGAAGGACCACAGCATCGACGGTATCTTGGGTGAGTGTCCTACTGTCCTTATACACTGCCTCCATAGTCCCCCACACACTGCCCCCATAGTCCCCCACACACTGCCCCCATAGTCCCCCACACTGCCCCCATAATCCCCACACACTGCCCCCATAGTCCCCACACACTGCCTCCATAGTCCCCCACACACTGCCCCCATAGTCCTCCACACACTGCCTCCATAGTCCCCACACTGCCCCCATAGTCCCACCACACTGCCCCCATAGTCCCCCACACACGCCTCCAGTCCCCCACACACTGCCCCATAGTCCTCCACACACTGCCCCCATAATCCCCCACCTGGTCCCCACACACTAGTCCCCACACACTGCCCCCATAGTCCTCCACACTGCCCCCATAGTCCTCCACACACCGCCCCCATAGTCCCCCACACACTGCCTCCATAGTCCCCTCCACACACCCCCCATAGTCCTCCACACTGCCCCATAGCCACACACTGCCTCCATAGTCCCCCCACACTGCCCCCCATAGTCCTCCACACACTGCCCCATAGTCCCCCACACACTGCTCCATAGTCCCCCCACACTGCCCCCATAGTCCTCCACACTGCCTCCATAGTCCCCCCACACTGCCCCCATAGTCCCCCCACACACTGCCTCCATAGTCCCCCACACACTGCCCCCATAGTCCTCCACACACTGCCCCCATAGTCCCCCAGTCACTGCTCTTACTCTCACACACACTGGTAGAGATGTCATGACGGGTGTGTTATGTCTCCTCTTGTCCAGGTGGTAGCTAATAAATTCATGTCCAGGTGAGTTGACTTCGTTCGTTTTTTTCGTTTTTTTTACCTAATTCTTGAGTTTTTATTTTTACGAATTTTGGGTCAAGTGTTAAGTCTATAGTTGTCAGTAAGTGTTGCTCATATAGTCGGTGGTGAACGTCCTCCATTGTTGTGAGAGGTTCCTCCTGTGCGCCTGGTAGAAGGACATATTATTGGCTGACTCTAGACAAGGTCCACTGACGACGTAGCTATAACACTAATTCTTCAGTATTCGGCGAGAGAAGGAGAGAGGAATGAAGGAAGGAGGGAGAGAGGAAGGGGGGAGGGAGGGAGGGAGAAATGAACGTTCAAATCTGGAAATCAGAGTTCAGTTACGATCGTCAGACGCCTTTTTCAATCGACTGTAGTTGACGTAGTTCACATAACAATCAAGATGCTGTATGACGTAACTGGATGAGATAGACGATGAGGATGAGACACATAAGACTGGATATGTAACTTCTAGACTAAGGAATTTGCTGCAGGAACCTGACTCGTGTGTGTCATTATACAGTCGTCAGGTTAACTTGAAACAGCGTAACCACTCACCGCGTCTCCCACTGTTTCTTGGTCAAATACATAGATGCGAGACACACGTGATGTTTCGTGAATACACAACACATGGGGATCTATCGTGCACACCAGAGGACGCCGGGGGCCACACTAGACACCCTAGACCGCCACAGGACCACACTGGACACCCTAGACCACAACAGGACCACACTGGACACCCTAGACCACAACAGGACCACACTGGACCTCCCTAGACCACCACAGGACCACACTGGACACCCTAGACCACAACAGGACCACACTGGACACCCTAGACCACCACAGGACCACACTGACACCCTAGACCACAACAGGACCACACTGGACACCCTAGACCACCACAGGACCACACTGGACACCCTAGACCACAACAGGACCACACTGGACGCCCTAGACCACAACAGGACCACACTGGACACCCTAGACCACAACAGGACCACACTGACGCCCTAGACCACACAGACACACTGGACACCCTAGACCGCCACAGGACCACACTGGACACCCTAGACACAACAGGACCACAGTGGACGCCCTAGACCACAACAGGACCACACTGGACACCCTAGACCACAACAGGACCACACTGGACACCTAGACCACCACAGGACCACACTGGACACCCTAGACCACAACAGGACCACACTGGACACCCCAGGACCACACTGGACACCCTAGACCACCACAGGACACACACTAGACACCCCTGACACAACAGGACCACACTGGACGCCCTAGACCACAACAGGACCACACTGGACACCCTAGACCACAACAGGACCACACTGGACACCCTAGACCACCACAGGACCACACTGGACACCCTAGACCGCCACAGGACACACACTGGACACCCTAGACCACCACAGGACACACTGGACACCCTAGACCACCACAGGACCACACTGGACACCCTAGACCACAACAGGACCACACTGGACGCCCTAGACCACAACAGGACCACACTGGACACCTAGACCACAACAGGACCACACTGGACGCCCTAGACCACCACAGGACCACACTGGACACCCTAGGACACCTACCCACCAACAGGACCACACTGGACGCCCTAGACCACAACAGGACCACACTGGACGCCCTAGACCACCACAGGACCACACGGGACACCCTAGACCACCACAGGACCACATTGGACGCCCTAGACCACAACAGGACACACTGGACGCCCTAGACCACCACAGGACACACTGGACGACCTAGACCACCACAGGACCACACTGGACGCCCTAGACCACAACAGGACCACACGGGACGCCTAGACCACCACAGGACCACACTGGACGCCCTAGACCACAACAGGACCACACTGGACGCCCTAGACCACCACAGGACCACACTGGACGCCCTAGACCACAACAGGACCACACTGGACGCCCTAGACAACAGGACACTGGACGCCAGACCACCACAGACCACACTGCACACCTAAACCACAACAGGACCACACTGGACACCTAGACCACCACAGGACCACACTGCACACCCTAGACCACAACAGGACCACACTGGACACCCTAGACCACCACAGGACCACACTGGACACCCTAGACCACAACAGGACCACACTGGACACCCTAGACCACAACAGGACCACACTGGACACCCTAGACCGCCATAGGACCACACTGGACACCCTAGACCACCACAGGACCACACTGGACACCCTAGACCACAACAGGACCACACTGGACACCCTAGACCACAACAGGACCACACTGGACACCCTAGACCACCACAGGACCACACTGGACACCCTAGACCACCACAGGACCACACTGGACACCCTAGAACACAACATTAGCCACGCTAGACCGCCGCAGGACCACCCTAGACGTCGAGGGACGCCAGGGACCTCATCGGGGTAGGTTAAGGAGGCGGCGCGGTGGTGAGCGGGGAGTAAAGTGTCATGGGGTAAAATAAGGATGTTTAGCTGTGTAAAGCAAAGGTGACGTTAATACTTACACGATCTGGGCATAATGAGAGACGCCCCCAACCGGCTTCCACGCCCACGCACCATGATCACTGCACGCTCTCACTCCACGACCACCTTCCCACACAGACACGACACGTGTGCTAACAAACAAGAGACCTAACACAACACAGACAAACAGCAGACACAGTAGTATTTTCCCACCACACCACAGTTTCACCCCACCACTCACGTGAGCTGGGGAGAAAAGTTCTGCTGGCTGGAAAAAAAAACAAAGAAGTTTTATTCCACGTAATTCTCTCTCGCTCTATTTTGTTCTTATTTCCTCGTCTGAGATATCCCCGAGACCTTGAGAAGCCTTGCTACACACACACACACACACACACACACACACACACACACACACACAGATAAATGTTTCCTCGCTGCAAATACAATGTTTAATAGGATTTAGTATTGAAAAAAAAATCTGTCTTTCTCTCTCTCTCCTGACGCTCGTGTCTCCTACAATGTCCTGGACAAAACTACTTAAGGTTCGTCAGGACTCGGACAAAATACTTCCAGATTAATTTCCAGCATACAAATTCTTATGGATAATTTTCCTTTGGTCAAATTCCCAATGGGTAATTCTGTAGTGGACAATATCCTTGTGGACAATTTAATATTGGACAATATCCTTGTGGACAGCTTCCCACTGATACCATAAACCCAGAGAGCATCCCACCGCACAACAGCCAATAGGACAAAAGCCACAAGGGAAGTCTTAAGGTGGACGAAACACAAGAGAATGCTCCAGTAACGGCGGTGCATATTTTATAGTGACTCATTACTGTGGTGGCCGAGTGGTTGTAGTGCTCACCTCCTGTTGTATTGGGCGTTGGTTCAAGGCAGGACATCCGCAGTTCATTTAGCCACGAGTGGGTACCTGGGGAAGTGAAGGAGGTCGAGTGTCGTTTTGACCAAGATCATTATTTACAGAAGGCTTAATGTTCAGTGTGCTGTACCACAAGTGTCGTCAGGCCTTGTATTCATGAAACACTCCAAACATCTTCTAAACTAACTGAGAAGCTGTATTATCTGTATCTAAAAATATATTAATTACATGACTACGATACTACGTTAATGTGTACTTGATAATCCATGAACAATATATATGTATATATATATATATATATATATATATATATATATATATATATATATATATATATATATATATATATATATATATATATATATATATATATATATATATATATATATATATATATATATTACTTATCACATCTTAAGCTGCTTCAGTCATAGTTTCAGTAATGCGTTCGTTATCTTTTCCCCGTAAGTGAGAAACAATACTAATAGTCATAATAGCGTATTTGGGTAATTTGATAGCCATTTTAGCTGTTAGTCTTGTAATGTAGCTAAATAGTGCAAGTTAGACTATATTACCATTTAGGGAAGAAGGGTAATTGTTGTACAGTAATGTAGAGGAGATAAGGGAGGAACCCGTGATGAAGACTGGGGGTCACTGGGGGGTCACTGAGGGTCACCAGGTAGTTAACATGTCATAAATTATGTGTGTGGGGAGGGGGAGGGGGCAGCCACCCATCCTGGCCATACCATCTCCCTGGCCACACACTATACCACCTTACCCACAGTATTTCTCTATAGTCAAGCCGCCTCATCTCCTTGACCATATATTATTATTTCTCTGGTCACATCATTATTATCTTAGCCTTGCCACCTACCTGGCCACACCACCTCCCTGACCACACCACCTCCTTGGCCACACCGTCACCTCCTTAACCATGTCTCTACCCTCCTAACCACGTCGCCACTACCTAACCTAACCACGTCGCCACTACCTTCCTTACCACGTCGCCACTACCTTCCTTACCACACTTCCACCATGACCACACACCACCAAGGCCACACACCATGCATGCATCTCCCTGGCCACAGTATACAGGTGCCGTCTACCACCCTCCCTCCTCACTCGTGCTCTCACCTGCTGGTTGACGACTTGAGGTGAGCAGTGAGGAGGTCTTGGCCTGAGGTACACAGAACTCAGCGAGGTGCTGTTGAGTGTTGGTGTAACAGTGACGCCATGTTTGTTGTGGCGTAATTTGAATGAGACAAGAGTTGTCGCGTATCTTTGACCTGGCTGTTAACTTGGGATGGTGGTAGTTGTGGTTGTTGTGGTGGTAGTCATAGCGATAGTGGTAGTAGTGGTGATGAGAGTGATAATGGTAGTGTTGATGGTAATGATGGTGGTGTTGATAGTAAAGGCTGTAGTAGTAGTAGCGGTAGTAGTAGTAGTAGTAATGGTCGAGCTTGTAGTGGGGGTGGTAAAAGTAGTTATGGTCGTGGTAGTGGTGGTGATGATGGTCTTATTGTAGTGGTAGTGGTGTTGATTGTCTTAGTAATTATGGTAATGGTAGTTATGGTAGTGGTGGTTGTAGTAGTGGTGTTGTTATATTAATTATGCTAGTGGTAGTGGTGTTGATTGTCTTAGTAGTTATGGTAATGGAAGTTATGGTAGTGGTACTGTCTTAGTAGTTATGGTAGTGATGCTGTCTCAGTAGTTATGGTAGTGATGCTGTCTCAGTAGTTATGGTAGTGATGCTGTCTCAGTCGTTATGGTAGTGATGCTGTCTCAGTAGCTATGGTAGTGATGCTGTCTCAATAGTTATGGTAGTGATGCTGTCTCAGTAGTTATGGTAGTGATGCTGTCTCAGTAGTTATGGTAGTGATGCTGTCTCACAGTAGTTATGGTAGTGATGCTGTCTCAGTAGTTATGGTAGTGATGCTGTCTCAGTAGTTATGGTAGTGATGCTGTCTCAGTAGTTATGGTAGTGGTGCTGTCTCAGTAGTTATGGTAGTGATGCTGTCTCACAGTAGTTATGGTAGTGATGCTGTCTCAATAGTTATGGTAGTGATGCTGTCTCAGTAGTTAGTAGTGATGCTGTCTCAGTAGTGATGCTGTCTCACAGTAGTTCATGCTGTAGTTATGGTAGTGATGCTGTCTCAGTAGTTATGGTAGTGATCAGTAGTTATGGTAGTGATGCTGTCTCAGTAGTTATGGTAGTGATGCTGTCTCAGTAGTTATGGTAGTGGTGCTGTCTCAGTAGTTATGGTAGTGATGCTGTCTCAGTAGTTATGGTAGTGATGCTGTCTCAGTAGTTATGGTAGTGATGCTGTCTCAGTAGTTATGGTAGTTATAGTACTGGTGTTGATTGTCTTAGTAGTTGTGGTAGTGGTGGTGATTGTCTTAGTTGTTGTGGTAGTGCTGGTGATTGTCTTAGTAGTTATGGCGGTGGTAGTGAGGCAGTACCACCCACCACACAGTTAGTTGTCATGGTTCATCTGGTAGACAGTGAACTACTCACTCTAGGCCTATACACTCATCTCTCAACTCTGGCGGGCGGAAGGGAAATTGTTGACCAATCACGCTGCTGCCCTTCAATGTAATTAATGGTCCCAGATCTTAGAACACCATTTATGTATATATATATATATATATATATATATATATATATATATATATATATATATATATATATATATATATATATATATATATATATATATATATATATATATATATATATATATATATCTTGAGGGGGGGGGGCTGAGGATAAGGTAACTGCCAATGGGGGAGTTTGGAGGCCATATTGCACTGCTACTGTGAATTCGATATTGTAATTTAAGTGAGACAGTTGGAGTTTAAAGGTGCGTCGTTAAGAATATATTGTCGTATAAGAATATATTGTCGTATTATAAGAACCAGTTAAGTCAAATTCACGCCTAGGTGTGTGTGTGTGTGTGTGTGTGTGGAGAACTAAAGACTGATCCTTATCGGCAGAAAACATGGAGAAGGTTCACAAAATCTCGCTGTTTCTTTCATTACCGACAAGTTTCGAGCCGTGAAAAACTGAACAAATTTTAGTGTTCGTATGTCATAACACCTATCTAGACTATCCAATAATTTTCACAAAAACCACCAAAAAAAATCGCTGTGATTCTTACATAAAAATTATGAGTGAGAAATATAGACAAATGTTTTATACTCATTACTTAGAAGTTTTAAAGTCGAGAATAGAAGGTTTATATTTCTCAATAAAGTCGAGGCCAGGGCAAGGTTTGAGACTTGCTGCCTCGTCACTCTGGACAATGACACCAAACTCTAGTCTTGAAAATCCCTAATTTTTTTTCATCCCTTAACTGAGGATTTAGAGGAAGTATCCAGTTGCTGTATAGATGGAAGGTTTAGTGAAATGCTATGTTCTGCAATGCTATAGTCTGTCTTTTGATCTCTTTAGTTTAATATATCACACCGGTGTCTCTCTCTCTCGTTTTTAGTCTGGTTTCTTTCTTTAATTTCCTTCTCTCTCTTATCCCTTCCCTCTCTCCCACACCCTCTTATCTTCTCCCCTCTTACACCTCTTACTTATCCTCTCTCTCCCCCATTCACTCTTCCGCCACTAACCACTCACTCTCCCATTCACCCTTTTTTCGGTAAATTTGCATTGTCACACCGTTCTCTGTTAGAAAGTCAAAAACATATTTTTCTAGTGTATGTGTGTGTGTTTAAACCGAATATGACCTTCATTTCTGGCGGAAATTGGCCGGATTTTTTTATCGATTTTTTTTTCGTTTTACGTTTTCCGAAAAAAAATCATGGCAAAATGCACCAAAAAACACTAGAAAACAAAAACCAAACCTAACCTAACCTAACTGACTCTCACCATATGATGGAATCACATATTTCTTACCTTATTGGCCTGGTTCTTGTTCGTCGTTGGATTCTGAGATTCTTACACAACGCCACATACTGTATGTTGGTCTTTGCGATATTTACATTCAGTCTTGCTCTTAGTACACTTTACTGAGGTTGGAAGAACACCATGCGATCGAAAAAAAGCTATAGCTTCTTTTTTTTCCCCAAAAAATCGCAATCAGCTCCATATAATTTAAGTGACACCCATCGCAGACTTCCATGGTCGGAACTGAACTTGAATTTCAAAATACGAGAGACCTAAAATAAAACTCAAATTTGATTGGGCCAAATATACCGCGAATTAAACCCAAAATCATTTCAAATGGTTTCAAAAACAAAAACGCTTTTGATTGGCCGCGTGACGTGTACGGGAACGCATGCCCATGAAATATTTATGAATGAGACGCAGGAGACACGCAGTATTGGAGGTGAGGCAGGCGATAAAGGAAGATTAATGGAAGAATATAGAGAAAATGTTGGATATGCTATTTCCGTTATTATACGTTTCTGCCGGTAATGTAATAGATGAAAATTATCTTATAATTAGGCAATAATACCCCTTTGTCATCCCTTTCACTTTTTGTTTCTCTCTCATCCCACTCACTTTTCCATATCTACACACATTCCTCTCACCTTTCACACCCCCTCTCATCTCTTACTTCCCCCCTCACCCCACACACCTTATCTCTCACCCAACTCATCCTTCTCCCCCAGGTGGTGGAGGCAGCGACGAGAGTGACATCGAGAGCGAGCCAGGGATCCCACTCAAGCGCAAACAGCGTCGCTCGAGGACGACCTTCACGGCGGAACAGCTGGAGGTACTGGAGCGGTCCTTCGAGAAGACGCAGTACCCAGACGTGTACACGAGGGAGGAATTAGCTCAAAAGTGAGTCTCTCTCTCTCTCTGCATCTGCCTTTATCCTAACTCACGTGTCTCTGTTTCTGTCAGTCTACGTCACTCTCTCTCAGCTGTCTACCGGGTCAGTACAGTAACCAAGAGCTTCGTGTGTCTTCTGTAAGGAGTACTCATGTGTGGATTTTCCCCAAGGTGTAGTGGTTAGTAGACTCCCCTCCATGTTAAAAGGTCGTAGACTCGATTCCCGGGCGGGATGGAGCCAAAGTGGTTGTATAGTGAACGACAGGTGACAGTACAGTGGTTGAGATACAGTGGTTGAGATACAGTGGTTGAGGTACAGTGGTTGTGGTGCAATGGTTGTGGTACAGTGGTTGAGATACAGTGGTTGAGATACAGTGGTTGAGGTACAGTGGTTGAGGTACAGTGGTTGTGGTGCAATGGTTGTGGTACAGTGGTTGTGGTACAATGGTTGTGGTCCAGTGGTTGTGGTACAGTGGTTGTGGTACAGTGGTTGTGGTACAGTGGTTGTGGTCCAGTGGTTGTGGTACAGTGGTTGTTGGTAGTGGTTGTGTGGTACAGTGGTTGTGGTCCAGTGGTTGTGGTTGTGGTCTAGTGGTTGTGGTCCAGTGGTTGTGGTACAGTAGTGTTGTTGTGTGGTACAGTGGTTGTGGTACAGTGGTTGTGGTCCAGTGGTTGTGGTACAGTGGTTGTGGTACAGTAGTTGTGGTAGTGGTTGTGGTAGTGGTTGTGGTACAGTAGTTGTGGTAGTGGTTGTGGTAGTGGTTGTGGTACAGTGGCTGGGGCGTGAAATGTTTTTGTATACGTTTTGTCTGTAAATCACCCAATTTTGACCGCGTTTCGAGGTTAAGTTGAGGAAATAGATTTAAAAACAAGATTGGGAGCGATGTTGTATATTTTGTCAATTTAATGATAAAAAAAAGTCGTATTACTCACCACTGTTGAGTATGACAAACCCACTCCCACTATTGAAGTTTACACTTTTTAGGTGGAAGGTAGAAAGTTCGCCTATAGTCTGCGCGGAATGTTAGGTCGTGTGCTGAAAAAATATTGATATTTACGATTATGTTATATAAATAAAGTCAAGTAACACTTACCACTTCAATTAATACTTTGCAGTGTTTCCTCTGCGCTTCAGACAGTCTTTTAGCCTTCGAGGAAAACTGTCAGCAAGGTTTATCAAGAGGTCAGGTGGCCAGTTAGCCCAGGTATCCTTGATGGCTGCCTCTAGCTTCGGGATTGATGATGTGTCAGCGTCGCGCAGACGACGCTTAACAATGGACCACAAATTTTCTATTTGGTTAAGATCTGGGCTACTGCCAAGCCAGTCATTAAAGAAAGGTACCTCACAGTCTTTGAGCCACTGTATGACACTTTTAGCAGTGTGGCATGGGGTACCGTCCTGCATGAAAAGGCTTGCCTTAGCTTTATCAAATGATGCAGGTAAGAAATCAGAGCAGTTCAAGATAGTTGTACTGATTCATCATCTGGTTCTTAGGGAGGATTACTAGTTCACCAAAACCATAATACGTAAAGGAAGCCCAAACCATAAGCGAGGCAGGGTGCTTAACAGTCTTTACAGTGTACTGTGGGAGGTGCGCGTCTGAGTGATGGGGGCGGTACACCCTCCCTCCATTACTCCCAGTCACAGAAAACGTAACCTCATCCGACCATAATACACTCCTCCATGTCTCTAAATCCCACACTTCATATTTCTTGCAAAATTTCACTCTATTTTCCTTCTGTCTCTTTGTCAACAGAGGTTTACGGCGGGCACGAAAGCTCTTAAATCCCAGGTCATCGTGCAGGGCTTGTTGAACACAACGTAACGAGACGTGACTCAAAAGACGGGGGTTTCTCTCTTTCACTTCACGTGCTGTGAGTGAGGGATTGGACCGAACTTGTCGAGAAATAACCTTAAGTGTCCGTGGAGACAATAATTTAGGCCTACCAGACTTAGGTAATGGAGCTGGTAACTCGTCCTCTCCAAGGTCACGGAAACGTTTGACAAGATTTTGAACAACTCGTAATGCCACACCAGTCTGAGCCGATATTTCTCTCAGTACATGGTTCGCTTTGTACAATGCAATCACTGCTGCAATATCGTCTCTTGTAGTAACCCTCCTGGACATCTCTGATGGCCACTATGTCGGGTTAATGCACCTTAAACTTGACAAAACATGGCCACATGGCACGGGAACCCGCACAATAAATATTCCCCTCACAGCTGCCAGAGGCGCACTGACTACAAGCCGTGACGTGTTCTCAGTTGGCAAATGTCAGCACTTGCCAACAAACCAAGCGTTTTGACATCTCTCATCCCAGGACAGGCTTCACAACATATGATCTTATTTTTGCGAGAACTTAGTTCGTCGGCCCTATCGCGACTTAACATTCCGCGCAGACTTAATTAAATGGATGAAATGTTTGGGTTTTTTCCGGTTATTTTTTATGCTTCTTTTACAGTTATAATTTGTCACACGCACAGTTAAACCTCCATATAACGGACTTTCCATATACACCGTTAGATGGGAGTTTCATATCTAACGGATCCTCGATATAACGGACTTTCCTCTCCATATAGTCCGTTAAACAGAGGTGTCACTGTATACTGTATATTTCATAGGTGTGTTAATTTCTATATATTTGTAAGTTATGTTTTGTTATGTTACTATATATTATAGTAAAATGCTGCCAGAGACAAATGAACTATTGACATACGTGTTATTAAGGTGAATAGCCTTTTAAGTAAAAAATACAGCACAAATTCTTTCCGATGAAGAATAATTTTACCTTCATGATGACAATAATAAAAGCCTTCGGGTGTTATTTCCTTATATAGATCTAAAATACTTATCATATGATCGTCACTAACACAACATACAGCTGCTCGTGATTATTAGTGTCAGTCATTTCAAGTATTACAATAAGACATCATAAAGACATATCATCATGAAAGTACTTTAACAAATATCGATCAGAAATAAAACTGAAACAAATCGTCATATTGCGACTCTGGCTCTTCCTTGAAAACGGAAGATTTGATTATGACAGAACTACTGTGGCCACGACCAAGATCTTCCACTAGTTTACTCACGCGACACAAGGCGGCAGCACCACACAACACCAGACCAGGGTTGGACCAATTACACCGTTTTAAATCTATTACAATCACGAATACAAATACTTGCCTGAATTTTTAATTACAATTACAATTACATTTCAAATGTTCAGTTACATTACAACTACAATTTGAAAATCAAAAGTTCAATTATAATTACAATTACAAGTTTCCACATGCTAGCTCACTCTGAAAAAAAAACCGTCATGCTGTCTAGCTATAAGGGCTAAATCCGTATTGATGAATATGTTTCACTTAAAACTATTGTGAAAAAAAGCAGACATAGGCTATCAAGATTCCAGTGCAGTCCATGCATACTGCAAGTTACACATAATATTTACAAAGCTGGGAGTTTTTCAAATAATTCACCATTACACTTTATCATTAACAATGGCCGGAAAGAAGCGACACCAAGTTGGGCCCTGTTGGCTGTGAAATAATTTCCAGCAATGTTGAAAACTCGCTGGGATGGAGCAGATGTTGCAGTACACCCCATCAGCTCCCTTGACAGGTTCTTCAGTGGGTGCAAAGTTGGGGACACTTCTTTCCAGTAGAACATTGGATTGCTTGAAAATGTCATGCTCGTTGATTTTGTGGCCTAGTTGAAGATGGTGGTATGAAGGAGAAAAGTCTGGGTCTTTTTGATTCAGGTAATCCTTCTGCTAGATCATCTTTGTCATTTTCCTCTGTTGACCTCTCCTGAACTGCCTCCGATGCTTCCAACATTTCCTTGATATCAATCAGTACCTGCTGGACCTTCTGCTCCTGTGACGACAGCCAGTCCAGTTTGAACCTGGGATCCAGAAAAACCGCTGCTCTAACATCCCTCATTTCTACGAATGGGCCCACCAAACCTTTTCTTCACAGAGTCCAGCAAGACTCTAGCCAAAGGTTCACAGTGCTGCAATTGGCTGTTGCTGGAAGACCCAGATCTAAGATGTTTCAGTGAATGTTTAAGTCCCTGAATCACTGGTCCAATGGTCATGATGGCGATTGATTTGAAAATTTAATCGGGGGACTGAGTTCACAATTACAATTAAATTACAATTATAATTACAATTAACTGATAACTTTTGTAATTAAAATTACAAATCCTATTTTCTTGTAATTAATTAATTTCAATTAAATTACAAATACCATTACTCCAACCCTGCACCAGACAGTGACGTAAGACCCAAGTTTGTTATCGAGACACTTGTGGAAGTGAAGACCCGGTCTTTTGAGCTGGTCGTTTATGTCGACTCAGCTGTGACTGTGGACCTGGGTGTGAGCTGACTGTTGTTCACTGGGTTGGTAACTGTAATTCAACAGGTGTAAGAGACGTTGTACTAACCCCCCCATGTCTCTCCTCCCCTTAGAGCCAAACTGACAGAGGCGCGGGTGCAGGTATGGTTCAGTAATCGTCGTGCTCGTCTACGGAAGCACCTGAGCAGCCAGCAGCTAGCAGGGTTGTCCTCCACCATGCCAGCTGCAGCTGCTATGCCCACAGCCGCAGCCTCCTCCTACATGAACCAGTACGCCCCTCCCGCAGGCGACCACACAGCTGTTGCCGCCGCCGCCTACCATTGTAAGTGTCTAGGCATACATTAAGAGAACTTTCTGAAAACAGATACATTAAGGAAAATGTTCGTTCTTGTTAACACAATACTTGTAGATCTTTTAACAGTGGAACATTATCCACCATAAAATGTATATTTTATTAAAAGAAAGAAGTGATAATGATGACGTAAGAGGGAGAGGCTGTTGTGAGTATCCATGACCACACACACACACACACACACACACACACACACACACACACAATACAATACAATATGTGTGTGTGTGTGTGTGTGTGGTCATGAACACTCACAACAGCCTGAGCAGCTCAGTGAATGTTAATGTTTTAGCAAAATAAAGTAATATTGATGTAAAGAGCTCAACGCCTAATGTGATGTAGTTTAATGGGCGGGCAGTAAGACCTCACGAGTGAATGCAACATTCTCTCTCCCACTATCACTGGTGACCTATGATTCCTGCAACATTAACAAAATATTGAAAATGTTAACAAGGTGTTTGTCTCCTCCTGGAGGTTGTCAAAAAGTATGGCGGCGTTCACGTGAGTCAGAGAATGGCGGAGAACAAACTATAGTTCTGCAGCAGACTTTGTTATCAACTTCGTAAACGTAAACCAATCTCAAAATATTTTAATGCACTTGCAAGGATTATGTCTCTTTAAACTTTAGGTGTAAAATATAAGGGAACTGTGAGCCATAATAGATGATGTGTTAGAGCTTGATGTTTGGCCACAAATATTTTAATAGATACTAAAATACTCATAACAAACCGGAAACAAAACAAAACTACTAAATTGAAGTTTACTCACAAGGGATCATCCAAAGTCAATATGGTCGCTAACGTAAGACTGACTGTACAGTAACTAAGACAATACTGTACTCTTATACAGAACTAACCCTCTCTCTCTCCCTCAGCTTCCAGTGCCTGGCAGAGTTCCGGCGGTTACGACTACGCCAGCGCTGCCGCCTTCACCACCGATAACTCCGCCCACGCCCTCATGACCACACCAATGACCGCCATGACGTATCCTGTGACCTCTATGACGCCCACCATGAACTCCGGAGTAACAACGCCCTCCACGGAGGCCGGCTGGAGCACTGTGAAGACTATGGGCTCCACACCCATGGGCGGCTGGAACACTGGATTCTCCAGCCTGGGCGGCGACCAGCTGGGCGGCCTCTTAGGTGGACAAGGATACAACATGGGTGGCCATGCCATGCCCGCCCCCGCCCATGCTATGACAGATAAGACCCACGCCCACACGCCCTCCACCCCAGCCGCCTACCCTCCGGCCTACTTCCCCCAGTTTACTGACCCCTCCAGTCTTATGTGTGGGCGTGTGCACTAGTCCCCGCCCACCCGCCCTCCCCACTCACGCCCTCCATTAACACATTGACGCCCATCACTGTCCTCTCGTGCTCAGCCCGCACCCCTGATAATTAATGTTTCACCACCTTCATAGTGGGCGTGCTTCCTTTTCTTACGCCCGTCCACAAGTGCCTTCAGTGGTGCCAACAACCATGTAGGGGCGACAGAGGGGCGTGTGTGACCGATCCACCCACTCCTCCACCCACTCCGCCACCCAACACCCACTCCACCCCGCCATCACTGTGGCCGCCCAGTACTCCACCAGACCTACCTTCGCCCAAGTGGTCAACTAGCTATTATTCTGCTTTATTAGTGCCTTAACTAGCACCTAACATTGCTAGTGTTCACCTTGTATAGTTCACCTAGCTAGTATTCACCTAGTTATTGTTCACCTAGTGCACATCACCTAGCTAGTGTTTACTTGTGTTCATCTAATACACATCACCTGGCTGGTGCTCACATTGCTGGTGTTCTAGTATACGCCCATCAGCTAGTGTTCACCCAGCTATTGTTCAGCCAGCTAGTGTTCAGTCAGCTAGTGCTCAGCCAGCTAGTGCTCAGTCAGCTAGTGTTCTGTACTGGCACATCTTGGGCCATCTTTCCTGTACATATTAGTTTGTTTTATCTCATGTACAGATAGGAGTTCTTGTCTGTTGCTGTACAGACCTCCACGAGTCAGTGTTATTCTGTACAGACATAAAAACAGACAGACAGACACTATAAGTCTTCCGTATACTGGCCGAGCCTTGTAGCTGTCAGTAATGATCTTAGCCAAAGTTAATATTAGTGTAATTAAGTTACGTCACGTCGTCTAGTGAGTCACCTCTCCTTATGCATTGTTACTTTATCTCAACGTGTACATCCATGGATACAAATTGCACACTTTGTAAATGTTTTTTATAAATTATTCTGAACATGTACATGTATGTAGAAGTGGGTAATATATTTCCTCTGCACGTGTACATGTACGGAAGAGTTGGCTTTTGTGCAAAAATTTGCATGTACAGTACATGCAAGGAAAACTTTGCCAGTATTAATGTACTCAAGGTACTCCCACTGTCACTCACACACAACAAGACACAGTTCATCTCCGTGATAACTGCTTGTGCTTGTTGCACCATAAAACATAACTCAAGCGTACATAATCTATTTATATGAACGTACTGATGCTCCAGTGGTGTTATGTACAGAAGATGTACAACGCAGGTGTACCACAAATGTACACCATCACCGTACCAACAAGAAAAAACATGTACTTTTAGTTACAAATATTGATCACAACTACGACACGTATAGAATGTTTATAAATACTTGTCACACCACCATCAACGCGTGTTATATTGTTTACAAATACTGATCACAATAAGAGTAACACGTGCTAATTTGTTTATAAATATTGACCTCAGTAACAACATGAAACACGTGTTGCTTAGTTTACACGCACACACTAGTCTAGAGTAGCCAGCTAGTATTAATTCATAATTTTGTATATACAGTATTGATAAAAGTTATACTTCATGTTAAACATAAAAAATCTGAGGTGAGGATTGATGTCGAAAAAGATCCTCTCTCTGACACACACAGGTCAGACCACCTTTACACCTCCCTGCTCTGTAACCATTTAGTTATAAGCCCATAATGATGTTATTCATTAGAATAATCATACACATCTGTTATCAGCATAGTTATTCACATTTGTTATGCAAATGTTGACAGGTTTTGTTTCCCACTTGTTATATAAGTGTATTGATGTATTACTTGTAATTCTGATGAAATAAACCGAATTTAGATGAATGTGTGTTCTGACTACACTACACCAAATTTATTTCCTGTCAAGTTGTTTCTCATTAAACGTTAACAAAGTGCATTGTTTGCACAATAAACTAAGGAAGATAATTAAAACGGTGTCTTTTAAATACTGTACCATGAAGGCAATGTAAACAACAAATAAATGAATGGAGCAATGGACTGGGTACATGATCAAGTAAAACGAACGCAAAAAAAAAGAAACATACTGTAGGACCATCACACCATAAGACTGTCCTCACACAACCTGACATTCAGACGGACGGGGTTAGGACTTGAACACAACATGGCTGTCAGAGTACAGAGAGACTAGCCATCACGCCGCTCAGAGTGAGAGGCTGTCCTCCAGAGTCACCTTTCAGTGCCCCAAGGAAGTGTACTGTGTCGTCTATTGTAGCAAGTCTACTTCAACGATCTTATGCATGTATATATGTAGATAACTGCATTATTACACTCACCTTCAGCAGACCACCAATCAACGAACTGCGGCTATATCTTCCTTTGTTAGACTGTGGCATAGTGTGGCAAACTGCTTCTATCAGCGAGGTAACACAGATGATGGTCAAGAGGCAGTACCTTGGAAGGAAGTAAGGATTATTAATAGTGAGTCAATACATAACAGCACAGCGGATATTCTTAACGTGAAATATGACTCAGAGACGGCGAGGAAGAGCCACCTTTTGTAAGACAAAAAACTATTAAACTCTGACTACACACAAGTTCACTCACACTTAAAGTGTACCTCGCTCCGGGGTGACATGTCCGTTCTTCTGTATTCAATTCATTAAAGAAGATAAAAGATGTGGTAAAATTGCAGATTACAGCAACCAAAGAATCTGATAAAAAAAGTGTTACCTAACCCAACCTAACCTAATGTAATATAAGAAAATGATCATAGAAAAATAGTTCTATCGATTGAGTGTAGTGAATTTCCTGAATTCTGTGGTTGCTGTTTACTGCAAGATGTTAACAGTGGTTCAAAAGAATTTAAGCAACAAATAATTGGCTAAAGGAATGTAAATAAATAACTAGACAAAATAATGCAGACAAACAAGATTAGCTAAATGTAGACAAAAACGATAAGCTAAATGTAGACAAAAACGATAAGCTAAATGTAGACAAAAACGATAAGCTAAATGTAGACAAAAACGATAAGCTAAATGTAGACAAAAACAATTGGCTTATGGAATGTAGACAAAAATAACAATCGACTGCAAGAATGTAGAAATATATACAATTGGATAAAGGAAAATAAACTAAGCAAACAAATGAAAGTAAAGAGGAACCACACAGATAATACTGCTTACATGTGATAAACACAATGTATAGAAGCCAAATAAATGAGACTTTAGTTAAGTAGAAGAAGATTTGTAGACAAAATAAACTGGGCAAAACTTGTGCGTTGCAGTGTGAAAGGAATCACAAACATCTGAATAGGCTATGCAATAAAATTAAAAACAAGAATAAGATATTTTACGCTGATGGACTTAAGTTTAAAGTGAGCACATTCACTCATCCTTGTTCATTGTACACAATTCATCATATACTTGTACCATATATAATACAAATGGAGTTGCAGCATTTTTTTTGCATGACATTAGTACAAAAATATATAGTTACCTCGTATTGTAGGATGTTGCAGTGTTGGGATTGAACTTTCCTTAATTCTCACTAAAGTTTTTAGTTAACCGAGTTGTTCATATTTTTAATTTCTTTTGAACGCACTACGTTTAAAATGTACGCGACATATTACTGCCTTGTTAAGATTAAATGAATCTTGTCTTCTGCAGAGGTAAACCATCTCTCCTTTTCGTCTCTTCATTCTTGGGAAACTTGAGAAAGGTAGAATCTCCCTTGAGTAGCAACCTGACACTGCACATTTACTGGCCATGATCTCACACGTTTATAATCTCACTCTAAACTCCACAGTTGCAGTCAGGTATTAATAAAGGAAACAAGTCCACGTTTGCTGTATACAGTACTTTCAATACCTACTCATGGGGGAGTGTGACATGCGCATTTTCGTACACTGGTAAGCAGACTTTCATGAATTCTTTAGACCCTTGTACAGCAGTAATGTATAGAGAATGATACCCGCTGCTGGTCATTATCCTACTGAAGTTCTAATGTTATCTATAGAGGGTAGACATAAGGCAATACAGTATTGCCTTAGAGACGGCGGCACCAGAACCACCACTAGGCGACGCTGATAATGCAAACAAACATATCAGATGTTATTTAGGATTATCAACATCAATAAAAAATATACACTTACTAAAATGTGATAGAAAATAGACTAAAATCAAATTTGTTTATTTTAACGTGGCTTGATATTTTATCCTATGTAACTATTCTCATTATCAAGTATGGATCTTGACTTGACTTCGGAAATTAGCTCAAATCAATTTGGCGGGAAAACTACTTGTGGTGAGTTATAGCTCCGGGAAGGATGACAATCAAGAGTTCAATGATGTGAGACGCAGCCGCAGCCAAGTAGGACACTAATTCCCGCCACCAGCAACACTAATAAAAGGAGGAGCATCAGCAGTGAATGTAAGTACTGTATTAGTAGAGGTTATTTAACAATTGTAAGATTTGTGACATAATACACCTTTTTATTTCGTACCATTAATATCTGTGTTTATTGCTACAGCTGTGGCCATATTTTCTGTTACATTACCACAACCCATAATATGTAGTGAAATATTCGGTTGTTATATGTCATATGTTGTATAGCTCGTGTTTGCCAATCTTACGTTTCATAATTACCAAGCTAACGTAACCTAACCTAACATAACCAAATCTAACCTAAGCTATTACCGAAAACTTTAAAAAGATTATGAGCAATATAAGGAAACTTAAAAATAAGCACTGTATTTCTTTTCCAGTGTACCGTAGGCTGCGTGTTCGTGTAGTGTTGTGTCCTCTTAGTGTTACCCAGGTCCTTCACTTGATTGTTTTGTTTACATTACCTTAACCAATTGTTTGCCCTTTCTGCAATCATTCAGATTAATATTTATTCCAACTAATTTATGTGAGAGAAATACAAAGAGAATGGTAAATACAGTGTGAGAAAGACCGCAAATGAACGAGGCAGACAACATTCCAACGAATAATAAACAATGTAGACAAACCAAACAGGTCGAAGAAGTGAGTGAGACAAAAAATGTAATAAGAGAAAGAATGAAAATAATCAGGGATAAGGCGTGTTGGTGTGTGTCCCGCTGTGTGCACCAATAAGCATAGAGGAGCCAACATCACGAACACTCCATTGTCATCAACAACCCACAATTCTCAACCAATTATTTGTGTTCCGGCCATGAGGAATTGATTACGATTGGCTGTTGGTGTGAGGCGTCAGACAGGAGGAAATGTTCCCACGCAAATAAATTTTTATTTATGATCGGAATTTTAGCCAGTAATAATTATAATAAATATTAATAGTAATAATCATAATTTACATACTACTACTACTACTACTACTACTACTACTACTACTACTACTACTAATAATAATAATAATAATAATAATAATAATAATAATAATTATAATAATAATAATTATAATAATAATAATAATAGTAAAATAAAACAATAAAAATAATAACAATAAAAATGATAATAAAGTAAGTTAGGTTTTGGTTGGTTTGATAAGGTTAGGTTAAATTAGGTTATACTGTGTTAAGTTTGGATGGGTTGGGTTAAGCTAGGGTTAAGCTTTGTTAGGTTAGGTTATAGTAGATTTGGCAAAGTTATGGTTGATTAGGATAAATCAGGGTTGATTAGGTTAAGTCAGGTTTGACTAGATTTGGTTAGGTTAGGTTATAATAGGTTTATTAAGTTAAATTTTCACCACATGTCTCACGTTACCATACATTTCGTCAATAAGATGGCGGCGAAGTTTAGCGTCAAAGATTTAACATATCTGGATGTGTTTTCCCACGAATCTTCAGAAGTCAAGATTGATGTTCTCGCGTCCTAATATTAGTAGTTTTCTGTATAGACTTGAGTGATTATTTACCTTCACATTATCTCAATGGTCTTCGTTTCTTCGTGAAATGATTTGTATCGTCGTTAGTTTGTATCGTTTTTTGATAGTCTGTAAATATACTATATCTGAACTGAATGTGATTTGGATAGCCTCGTGTTGTTCGTAGCCTGTATACTTGATGTGGTTCTCTTACAAAGTGGGTTAAATATTTTTTTTTACGTTTGATTATTTACTTCATTTATTCTTTTACTGTTTAGTATAACTTTCCAAGTAATTCTGCTATTAGAATGCAGACCCAAAAATGTGGCTATCATTAAAAAATACTTGCAATTTTTGTAATATGTTACATTAATTGCCCCTAGGCACTAATGTGGGTCATTGACCTGTGCCCTGGTGGGCTAATCCCGTTAAAAAAAAGGGCAAGAATAATCACAAAACTTGTAGCAGAGACAATCTTCCACCACTGATTAACTACATCACGTATGTCGTGAATTCGTACAGCAGAATATTGTGCATTAGTGAATGAGTGACAATGCAGTGTGGTCACATAATGTAATTAATAGGCAAATTAGCCTAAATCATATGCCACTGTCGGGTTACGAGGCTAATTCGTATGTTAGTGTTTGTGAAGTAATTTTACCTAGCATAGGTGTGAGGACAGTGACCAGATTTGGTTAGGCTAGAGTCTAAAATAAAACCATATATCAACTAACGACAAGTCCTTTTATTTTATTTTTTGTATCTTAACACTCGTAAACGTATTGTTTGATTGTCTCTCATCTCAAACTCATTACAATATTCATGTTAGTTTCATTCGAAAACATAGTGAAACTTACCTCTAACGATGTATTTTGAGAGTCCAAACGAAGTTGGAAGTTGTTGAACTTTTGTCAGGAATCTTTTTACAACTAACACAAATGACACTTCTCTTTCCCGAATTATTATTTTTTTTAAGCAAATTGAATACATTTGGGTTAACCAT